CTGGCTGCGGCTCCACGCCTGCTCGTCAGGAGGGCCTGGCCTGCTCCTGTGTGGATACCACGGCCCGCTGTCGCCCTGGAGCGTGCGGCCTGTCCAGCGATTCCCCGGGGGGTGCCACGCGGGACGAGGTCTCTGCACGAGACTCTCCGGGGGTCGAGGCTCCCAGATCCTGTCCTGAGACCCTAGCGTCGCGGTTTCTGATGCGATCCCGCCTTCAGCAGGCAGCTCCGCAGGGCAGCTAGAACCTTTAACCCCCCCAAACACACTCCCCTTTGGGGAATCAGATCTCTCTACCCTCCCAGACTGAACCCCAAATGCAGCGGGAGCGCGGCTCTGAACGCCCCCACGGCCCCACAGCTCAGGTCCGCCACGGGGGCCGCTCGGGCCTGGAGAAGTGACCGCACCGGGGCTCTGCCCGTGCCCGTCACAGCCCAGCCCAGCCCAGAGGGGACGCCCCGGCCCTTCCCTGCACACTGCCGGGACCCTGCCGGAGCACAGCGAGCACCCCTGGGTGCAGCCTAGCTGAGGGACACTGCTCCCCACCACGGGGCCAGGGACACGGGCAATGCAGCCTCACCCCCAGGGCTCAGGGCGCACAGGCGGACTCCAGCCCAGCCCCGAAACCCAGGAGGCGTGTGTGCCCAGAACTGGCCATGCGGGCGGCCCTGGACATCCGTACCCCTCCCGGTGGACTCTGCAATGACAGACCACGCGGGCCCCGGGCATCTGCTCTGGAGGGGCCCCCACCTTGCACCTGTGGGGGTGTGGCCGACGGCGTCAGGCTCTTGGGGAGTGTTTTCTGTAGAGCGGGGATGTGGTCACTTCCGAGCGAGGCCAAGGCACGGAGCTGCGCTCGGGAGAGACCCGGAGGGCCGAGGGCTGTGGCGTGGTCCTCCCTGTCGGGTGTGAGCCTGGACGCTGCGGCACTGGGCGAGCAGGAGGAGCAGCGAAGGCTGGTGAGAGAGAGAGAGAGAGAGAGAGAGAGGGAGAGAGGGAGAGAGGGAGAGAGGGAGAGAGGGAGAGAGCGAGCCCCGCAGTTCCGAAGAAAGAACGCTGGCATTTTCTCATTTTCTCTGTCGGTTGGGAGCATTTGTTGAACAGCCTGACCGAGGCTTGTTTCCCTCCAGGAAACTCGGTGGCGTGTGTAGCCGCGGGCGACTCCGAGGGGGCCGCCCCGCCATTCACGAGCGCGTTTCTCACCCGCTGACGAGCGCTCGCAGCCGCCGCGCTTGCTTGGCTGTCCCTGGGGCAGCCGAGCCGCGGCCGGAGGGGAGCGGGACCCGGGGTCGGAGGCTTGTCTCCCGAGGGTCCCCGCGCAGCTGCCCGGGCTCCAGCAAGCGGGTCACGAAGCTCCCGAAAAGGCGGCAGGAGCGGGCAGGTGGCCCGCAGGACGCCGCTGCCCGGCTCGTGGGCGCTGACGCCCGAGAGCCCCGGGGAGGATCTGCCGCTTCCGGCGGGACTCCGAGCGCCCACGGAGCTTTGAGTCACCGTCTAGGCAGGAGCTGTGCCGAGGCCTGACGAAACCAGGTTTCAAAAAGCACCAGAAGCAGCAGAATGACCCCGCGCAGCGGGCAGACAAGGTGCAGCTGCCGCGGGGACTCAAGTTTTAAATTGCTCTCCAGGGTGATTCGAGCAGTTCGATTCTTATGTTACCGTTTTGGGTCAATACAAGCCGGTAACTTGGGGTTCACTAGGTCTTGCAGTCTTTGTGGGTCCCCCAACCCGAGCAGACGCCCTGCGCCGCCTGAGCGGCTGCTCCGGGGGCTCTTTCCTGCGGCGACTGGATGCAGAGACTCGGGAGCATTTCTGCGTCCCGCTCAGAGGGCCGGGGGGAGCCGCCACTGCTCCTCGGCCTGCACCTACGGGAGTGAGCAAAGCGGGGGTGGGGGCCGCACCCGGTCTGAGCCCACACCGGCCGGGCACACGTCTGCTCGGCCAGCTCCGGGCTCCGAGGGTGTCACGGCCCGCGGTCCCTTCCGGAGGCTCCTCGGTGAAATGTGGCGGCCAGAGCGCCGGGGGCTCGGGTGGGGCCACGGCCATCCCTCGGGCCGCGGACACCCCGCTGGGCTGGCCCCCGAGGACCGCCCCGGCCCGGCCACACACACCGGCAACGCCTGCACATGGTGCACATGTGTGTGGTACAGAGCAGAGGGCGCCACGCTCAGGGCCGCTCACGTCCCCCCTCACAAGTCCAGGTGCCGAGAGTGCACCCCAAAGTCAGGGCTGCTTGTGCTGGGGGTGAGCAAAGCCGGGGAGCCCTGGCCGGGGCGCGCGTGCCTGTTGCTGCGTGACGGGCCCGCTCCTGACGCGACACCCTGCTCGCCGGCCGGCGGGCACCCCGCAGTCAGAAGCGTGTGGCGTTTGTGCGGGTCCCAGCTGTGGGGCTGGCCCCGCTGAGGAGACTCAGGGAGCCGGACCCCGGGGCGCCTGCGGGCGGCTGCGGTGGCGAGGAGGGCAGCAGCGCGCGTCCCTCTCCTGGGCGGGCTGCTGTGTGGCTCTGGAGAGGAAGGTGCTTCGGCGGCGCCGTGCGCGGCTCTCCCTGGCCTTGACTCCGCGCTGCCAGCCCCGCGGGCTCGCTGCTCCTCCCGGGGCCCGGCCCTGCCCCCGCCGCTGCGCACCTGCCCACGCCCCGCGCTGAGGCCGCTGCTCCCACTGTGCGTCCCGCTGCGGCTGGGCCCGGCGCGGGCTGCCGTTTGGAGGAAGGGCGTCCCGAGGGGGCGGGCGGGACAGCCCACGGGCCGCAGGGCAGCCCAGCCCGGGCCGGGGACTCTGTCCCTTGAAGTTAGAAACACGCGTGTAAAGACGGAGGAGCGAAGGGCACCCGCGGCAAACACGGGGGTGCAGGGAGCACAGCCCACGAGGACGCGGCTCCCTGGGACCCCACGATCTGGCCCGGCTCGGCCCCCCCAGCACCCTCCCCCCACCCCCGCCTGGGACCAGCTCTTGCTGTCCCATCCCGCGCCGCGCCGCGGCCTCGCTCTCCAGGCCCGGCCAATTCCCGCTCCACGCGCCCCCTTAGCGGGCCAAGGCCCCGCTGCCCCGCCGCCCTGCTCCCCAGGGGCCGCCCAACGCAGCCGCACCCGGAGCCGACCCGGCTGTGCCGACCCGCCCGGCGCTGCAGCCCGCCCGCGGCCCGTGTCTGTTCGCAGACCTCATTGTTGCAAACCTCCCCGCGTGTGCGGCGCACGGGCCCTCGCGGTGGCGCGGTTGTGCGAGCGCCCCTGGGCGACAAACGGGCTCTGCTCCTGAGGGGCCGAGTGTCGCGACAGCCGTGACTCACTTCATAAATGTTTATCCTGAAACAAAGATGGTAAAAGTCATAAATTACTCCACCTACGAACGGGTATTGTCCAACCGAGGCGCCGCCGACGCCGTCCTGAACGCCCGTTCCTGCCCGCCCGGTGCCTGCAGAGGCCCGTCACGCTGGGAGTGACGGCCGCGTGCAGTAGCGCTCGAGAAAACTGGGAAAGGGAAGCCCCCACAAGCTCGGCCACGTGTCAACACTCAAAAACACCCTGGTCAGCGCCTCTCCAGACTTCTAAAAATATTTTTCTGGAAACGCACACGCACACGCAGACTCACGCGCACAGGCACGCACGCTCAGGCCTGTGGTCATGCCCGCGTACACTGTGGCCCTTGCTTCCCGGCAGGGCGCTCCCCACCGCCTGCTCCTTGCTTTGTCCCAGAGCAGGCTCCGCCCGGGCGCTGTGGGTCGGCCTGCTCTCCTGTGTGAAGAACTGGGGGTGGGCTTGGGCGTCGGCTCAAATTCCAGAAGGCCTTGACAAAGCAGCGGGTGGGGCTGTGCTCAGACTCTGCTTTACCGTGCGGGGTCCCCGAGTGTGCGCAGGGTGTGGGGTCCCCGGGTCACGGCGTTGAGCGCTCAGATCAGCCTGAGTTGAGATGACGGGGTGGCGGGGGGCAGAGTCCAGGAAGACGGTGAGTGAGGGGTTCACGACGGGGGCGGGCATGGCGCCGCGGGTCGGCTCAGGCAGCGGTGACTGGCAGCCAAGTAAAGTTTCCTGCGCTTGTAGCTTTTACTGTCAGGGTCTAGAGAAGCTGGGAGCACCTGGAGGTCACCCATGTCTCCTGACTGGGTCTCTGTCGCTGTGAGTTTCCGAGGTGGTCTGCGGGTCACGCTGCTGCTCAGGGGGTTCCGGCTCCCGCCGGGGAAAGGCCACTGTCAGGCTGACTCTTCAGACGCTCCTGGCGCCATTTTGCCGCGCTCAGTGCTCGGGGGCTCAGCTCGGCCTGTCTCTTCTCAGCCGAGCCCAGTGGCCCCTCGGAGCAGGGCCGTGGACTCGCGCTCCGCCTGCCCCACGCCGGGCGCCAGGGTGAAGGGCAGGTGACGAGTCTCCGAACCGCCCCAGGTGGAGTCAGAGCCACCGGAACTCGGGGCCGCTGCTGCCGTGTGCACACACCGACGCTGTGTCTGCCCACCCAGCCCTTAGTGCCAACCGTCCTCGGGACAAGATGGCCGAGCCGTGGCACTCTCTGGGCACGGCGCAGGGACGTGGCAGCGGAGTGAGGCCCGGGGCTGCTCTGCTCCCCGACGTGCTGGGCTCTTCCTGTGACTACAGCATCTCCCGGGGGGCCTTCCCACCCCCCGGCGCCAGCCCCACGGGGGCCATCCAGGACCATCCCGCCCCAGCACAGGCCCTGCCAGCCTTCTTGGGCCTCCTCGACCCTCACCCGTAGTGCACTATCCCGTCAGCGGCCTGGATCCGTGTCACACCCCGTCCCAAATCTGCTTTCAGGAGAGTTGGCCTCTTCCCCAACTTCCTCCAGAACAGGCTTGTCCTGTTCTCCACTCCCAGAGCTCGCCCCCACCTTTCCGTCCTGTTTCCCTTGAGCTGAGCCCCGACTCCTACGAAAGCGCTTGGTGCCACCTTCGGCTCATTGTTCAATCCTGCTGACACCCGAGCTGTCAACAGGGGAGCTCCCACACCTGGGCGCCGGCCCTCACTAGCCTGCCAGGAGCACACGGCGAGGCGGGCACTGGGATGACCAGCCAAGTCACAGGCTCCCCAGGTGCCCCTGCTGGAAAGAGCGCCCAGCGCCCAGCCTCCCCAGCACCGCACCGCGGGGGCCCGAGCAAGACCGCCAAGCCCTCTGCAGAGCGCCTGCCGGGTGCCCTCTGCTCGGGCACTGTCCATCGGTGCATCGACCACAGACGAGCCGACTCTGACGTGGACTTCGTGGCTTACACGGGACACCCTCATGTCTTGAAATCGCCACAGGCTGATGACACAAGAGGCAGATCGACGGGTCTTGAGCTAAATTAGGCCTCAAACCCGTGGTTTCTGATGAAGCACAGGTCCAAAGCTTGATCTCCCCAAAATCCGAGCATCTATCACCCACCCTAGGAAACCTGAAGGCAAGCCAGCGGCCCCACGGGGAGGCTTCGTGCCGAGGCAGGTCAGGCCCCGCGGGGTCGCAGCAGGCCCGCCTCACGTCTCCCGGGCGGCCGGAGGCCCTGGCGCGAGTCCAGGCTGACGAGAGACTGGTCAGCTGTGTGGCCCCCACGAGGGCCGAGGGCGCCGGCGGTAACCGGCATCCGTCCCGCTCTGGAGAGTTCACACGGGGTCAGCGTTGTCCAAAAGTGAGAATCGTTTTGAAAATGAAGATAAAAGACATTTCTCCGCGGAAGGCGCGTTCGTGGCGGCTCAAGTCCAGGGCCTCCGGGCTGCCCACGACACCGGCTTTTTTCTGCTTGCTTCGGGCTCTGCGTTGCTCGTCCAACGCCCGGCGCCGCCGCTCGTGCTCTTGACGGCCTAGTGGGCCGCGACCGACACTTTACACAAGAAATGGAAGACGGTGGCGCGTGGAGGGCAGCGCGCGGCCAGCGCTGGGCGCGTTTGTCACAGTCACCGATGTGTCCTCGTCTCTGGGGGGACACAGAACAGATTGCACGCCAGGCCACGGAGGTTGAAAGCCGCGCCTTGAAAGCGCAGAACAAAACGAGACATAAGCGAGATGCAAACTCCCGTCAGCAAACGCTGACAACAACGCCATCCCCGGGGGCGGGGAGCCTGCGGCGGGGCGGGCCGGGCCGGGCCGTCTCCCGGAAGGTTCCCGCACCAGGGCAGCAGGCTGGCCAGCTCTCTGGACCTGGCTGCGCTCTCTGCGGAGCAGCTTCCTGAACCCCGGGCGGCGACGGACCTCCTCCAGACCTCCTCCAGGGCTGCGCCTCCCCGCGGCTGCGGGATCCGGGGCAGGTGACGCGGCGGCTGATGTCCCTGTGGGGGCCACGCGGGCTGCGTCTCTGCTGTGCTGACTTGGGGCCCGGGGCTGGGGCCGAACACACCGCAGCCTCCGGGAGATGGGACGGTTTCCAGAGCCTTTCCTCTCGTGAGACCAAAAAGAAAAGTTTTATTGTGTCAGGGATCCTGATTCTCGCTGCAGAGCAGCGCGTGGCTAGCACCCAGCACCCAGCACCCAGCACCCAGCACCCAGCACGTCCGTCACGCTTTGGGGGGGGGCGGTGGGGGTACCTGACGCTGCTGCGGCCACAGGCTGAGCCGCAGGCTGAGTGAGTCAGCAGAGTGAGGCAACACCCAGGAGGGGCAGGGCAGGCCTCCCGCATGCCGCTGCCTGCTGGGCTGCTGATAAGCACCCGGTGGTGATAAGGGGCCAAGCTGAGCTAACGGGAAAGAGAAGAGAAAACACTCTGGGTGCCTTCCACTGCCTGTGGCGGCGTCTCCCAGGAGCCCCAAGCGGCAGCCCCAGGCCCCTGGTGAAAGCTGTGAGCAGGAATCAGCGATGCAAGCAGGGGCGTCTCCTGGAGGAACCGTGGAGGGGGTGGCCTCCGTGCAAGCAGCAGGTCCACCAGCAGCAGCGTGCGGGCAGCAGGGGAGAGGCCAGGAGCGCTGCTTATTTACACATGGCACAGAACAGAAGTACCAGACACGGAGACCGACCTCACGCTTGTGATCGCCTCAGTGGTCAGGGAGCACACGAGACATTTATTTACTTAGACACTTCTGATTGTTTGATTACATAAGCAATACCTGACTTTTATAATCGCCAGTGGTGGCTCACCGTGAAGCCGGGGAGGCTCGGCGTGGGGTCTCTGTCCTGCCCAACCCAGAGATGTTGCAGACAAACTAGTCAACTCCGAGTGTTCGAGACCAGCCCCCGGCACACCCTGCAAATGCTTGGGACCTCTCAGCTCAGAGGCAGAAGAACGGAGGGTTTTCCAGATGTGCCAACATCCAGAACGTCACTGCCAATGCCAAGTTGCGAAGCTGAAAACAGCTTCAATAATGTGAAAAAACATTCTAGGCGAAAGGCCAAATTACTGTTGTATTCTCTCTCTGGAAAATGATGCTATAAAATTATTATGCTGTGAATAATCAAGGGCCACAGAGTCAAACACGAAGACAAAAACAGGCGTGTGTTAAGCAGTTAAAGAAAATAAGTTTTTTAGGCTTTATGGTATTTGTCAGCTTTCAGATTCGTGACTTGTGCAATTTCTCATTCTACATATTTACTCTTGTTTTACTTTGCCATGTAACAACTTTTTAAAAGAGACGTCGAGATTTCACTAGCTTCAAGCCCCTTAAAATCTGACTCTCCCCTCTAATAACCGAAATAATGAAATTACAAGAGTAAGCCCAGTTTCTTTTTTTAAAGATGTATTTATTCATGCATACAAGAGCTGGGGCACAGGCCAGCTGCGCGGGGGGGCGGGGGTGAGAGGACTCACCAGAGACCAGTGGGGAGCAGAGCAGGCAGACTGACGAAATCCACTGCTGAGGGGAGCAGCGGGCGCGGCAGGAGAGGTCTGCTGCGCCGTGTGGGACTCTCACTGGCCAGCCGGGCACGGACTGCGCTGCAGCGGCGCGGACAGCTTCACAGCGCTGCGCTCGGTTTTGACAGCAGGCACACGAGGTCCCTGTGACTAGAACTCCGTGCGTGAGCTGACGGCTGTCCACATTAAGCCATAAGAGCCCTCAGACCGCAGCCGGGGGCTGCCGGAGCCCGGTGCTGGGATAAGGCGGCGCCAGCCTCCTCCTCCCCGTGCCCCTGCCTGCAGCTGCCCCCCGCCCCAGCCTGGGGCTCTGAGCCTGCGCGTGCCTGAATGCTCCCTTCCATGCTCTGTTCCTGCTCTGCTCTCGCCACGGGATTGTTCTCTGAATCCGGTCACGCCACATCCCACCACACTGTGGAGAAAAGGCTCAGTCTCTCTCCCGCCCTTCACCTTGTCTCCCCACCCGCAGCATCCGGTAAAGAACAGGCCGGCACCCAGTGCACGAAAGAATGAAACACGGGCAGCGCCGTTATCTCTGGAGACTGGACGAAGGGAGAAGTGAGCTCTTGTCTTATTTTAAGTTTTAGTTTCCCAATTACACAGAATTTTTTTTTTTTGAGAACAAGTTAAATGAAGAAAGTTTAATCAATTGAAAGCTGCCTTTAATCCCAACGGCAGCTCCGGTTCTTCTGCGAAGAAGCCCACACTTGCGAGTGTGGTGTCTATTTTTCTCAGACTTTAATTTTATGCTTTTCTGTGTGTTTACCTGCAAATATAGGTGTGTTCTGGTGCTTGGGAGGTAGATTTTAAAACTAGGTGGTATCATCCACCTCATACCAGTGAGAATGGCCCGTATCAAAAAAACAGAAAACAACAAATGCTGGTGAGGATGTGGAGAAAAAGGAGCCTCTTACACGCTGGGGAGAGCAAATGGCCCAGCCTGTATGGAAGGCTGTGTGGGGGTTCCTCAAAACACTAAAAATGGACCTACATACAACCCAGCAATTGCACTCCTAGGGTCTACCCAAAGGACACAGAAACACTAAATCAAAAGGAAACCTGCACCCCTGTGTTCACTGCAGAGCTGTGCACGAGAGTCAAGATATGGAAATGATCTAAATGCCCCCCAACAGATGACCGGATCAAGAAGCTGTGGCATATGCACACAATGGAATACTACTCAGCCATCAAAAAGACAGATGGATGCGTTTGTGGCAACATGGATGGAGCTGGAAGGGATCATGCTAAGCAAAATATGTCAGAAGGAAAAAGACAAATATCAGAGGATTTCAGTGATATGCAGAATATACAGAAACCGAACAAAGGGTCAGGAAAAAGACAAAACTTGCAAGGCTGACGTTAGATCTGAGGCCTGGGGGAGGGAGCTAAAATGCGGAAGGGGACGCACCAGGGGCTGTGGTGGTGGATCACGGGGGCTGCGGTGCTAGGGGACCTCAGGACTCCCCTGAGGGGGAGATCAAACACTGCAAATTAATGGTGTCCAAAAGGGCACTTAGCTAAAGAAATAAAACTCAGTGGAATCACCTGTGCCTGGGCCCTCTGACGCCGCAGTGTCGGGGATCCGCCGGCTTTGCTGTGTGTGCACGGACCCCGCAGACAGCAGGAAGGTTCTAGGCTGCTCGGCGCCCGCTGTCCCGCAAGGCCTGTGAGCACCCCTGGCACCCCGCAGCAAGGGCTGAGAGCTGCGTCCATCCTCCTCACTTTCCTTAACTTCTGTCACCTCAGCCGATGAGAAAGCGGCTTCCTGGCCTTCCTGCTGGTGGATATTCAGGATGGCCGCAGGTTCTTGTTTTGTTTTTTTTTTTAAAGATTTATTTATTTATTCATACAAGCACTGGGTACAGTCAGAAGCGCGGGAGGGTGAGAGAATTCACCAGAGCCAGAGCGGGGAGCAGAGCAGGCAGAAGGACCGAAGTACACTGCTGAGGGGAGCAGCGGGCGGCAGGAGAGGTCTGCGCGCCATGTGGGACCCTCACCGGTGGCCGGGGATCCAACCAGCACTGCAGAGGCTGCGGGCAGCTTCGCAGCCCAGTGCTCAACCGCTGCGCCACCAGGGGAGGCCCTGGCCACAGGTTCTGGCTCACACTCCTGCTCATGCTTGCAGGCAGAAGTGAGTTTCAGGCAGAGGCTCTGCCTTCCCTCCAGCCAGCACCGTGGTGACGAGACCCGCAGGCTGGACCTCCAGACCCTCCTTGGTGTCTACAGGCCGCGGGGCTGCTCCAGTTTCTGCACCGCCAGCCCTGCCCTCCCCGCAGCGCGGCCGACAGGGAAGCGGCCCACTGTTGTGTCCTCTTGTGGTGCTCGCGTGGGTGCTGAGTGTGTTTTGCTGCCGTGAGACACGGTCACCTCTGGGGCATGGGTGTCGTGGTGTTCACCACGTGTGCTTCATGCCAGAGACACGCACACGGTGGCCAGAACGCAGGGGTCCCTCGGTCAGCAGTGTCCGTCCCGCTCAGGGCTGGTCGTGCTGTTTTCTCCAGGGCGTTCTCGGGGCGAGTCGCGCCTCTGTGGACATAGTCCACCAAGTACGTCTCTGCTCCGGCCTCGGTTGATGGTTTCTTGAAGTCCAGCCTCTGCTTCGCCCATTTCATTTCCTCCACCCTGCCTGGCGCGGCGCCTGGACAACGCCTCGCATAGAACCGCAGCGTAATGTGTAGAGACCTGGGAGGGTGACGGGCTGACGGCGAGGAGCTCGACGGTGGGAAGGTGACCCATGTCAGCGCGTCTTCCGCCTCGGTTCTGACGAGACAGCCGGGGGCCACGCCGGCCCACACGGCGGTGCCGCACCCGCTGGGGCCTGTGGTCACTGCCCTGGAAGACGAGCTCCCCGCACGCCTGGAGAAGGTGCGCTTGGCCCCCCCTGCCCCGAGAGGGAGGCTGGCGTTGGTGGAGCGGCCGTCTGGGGAGAGGCCCCGGGGCCACCACCGTGCGTAGGTGCAGACTGTCTGCGTCTCCATCTCCCCAGGACCGGGGCTCGTGAAGGCCAGGACGCACACTCCTGCGGGTGGTCACCTCCCAGACGGGGTGGCCGGGTGCTGCCCCCGGGAGCACCCTGACACCGGCCGGCTTCCTACTCAGTGCCCCGCGACGGCGTTCAGCGGTTGTCTCAGAGACCATCACAGCAGGAGCTCCTGGCCCCGGGCTGTCAGCCGCTGAGCCGCAGGAGAATCCTGTCAGTGCCTGAAACGCTTTCTGACCCCACTGCGAAGAATCCGAAGGGAAGTCCAGGTCCTTTCTGCGGTGAAGCATCTTCGGTTGCTTCAAATAAGTGATGTGTGGCTCCAGCGGGCCCTTACGCTGAAATATTCACCCAACAATTAATCGCTGGCAGAGAGGATTTAGGAACCTGTGACCTGGCCACGGGGGATCTTTCCTGCAGAAAGCAGGAACATTCTGACTGTGGTCACGTTTGAGCTTAAGCTTCACCTTGATCCGCGCGGTTGTCCTCTGAGGCACTTTCTGGAAAGGTCTGAAGTCTGCAGATCAGCTTCGTGAAGGAGACTGTTTCCTGGTCAAGAGTAACTCGATGAGTTTCCTGTGAGAGGTTTCCCTGCCGCTGCTTCAGCTGCAAATCCGTCTCCAGCACGGGGCGGGGCGCCTCGTCCCACAGAGGGAAACGGCGCTCAGAACCGGTGTTGGGAAATGCAGCTTTCGGAAGGGCTGGCCTGTGTAGAAACTTCCTTCCCCGGGCGGTCCTCAGTCTGTGGGCCAGAAGCTCAGCCCTTCGGGCGCAGGGTGCAGGCGTGTGTGGCCAGGGCAGGGATCCCGACCCCCACGTCCGGGCAGCCCTGAGCGCCCGGGCTCCCGGGGGCACGGCTGTGTGAGTGCGAGCGCCCGCCGCGTCCCGCCCCCACGGGGGCTGCGAGTCCCTTTCTACCTGAAGTGAATGGAAAAGACCAACAGCCTGTCCCTGAGCACAAGAAAGGCGCCCCAGAGGGCGCAGGCCATTCTGACCGTGGACCTTGGAGGCCTCACCACGACAGTGACGGGCGGGCCCTGTTGCCTGCCAGCCCGGGTGCCCCTTCCAGAGCTGGCAGCGGGGGAGGGGGGTTTCCACACACCGGCCCCCAGGGCCACCCTTCCCGGTGCGCCCTCAGGGGAGGGACCGGCTGGCTGGGTGCTGCGCCTTCCCGGGGCGGCTCAGCAGGGCAGCGCGGGCCGGGCTCCCGCTCCCGGCAGGGCCACCACCTCCGGCTGGGCTGCTGGGGCCAACCCCGGCACGGCACAGGGACTCGGGGAGCGCAGGGCAGCCTGCACCTGGGGGGTGCTCACTGCTGCCCGAGCCCAGCCAGAGGCTGGGGCCTCCGGGATGGGCAGGAAGGTGCTCCGCTCCCAGGTCCCCGGGGGAGGGCAGGGCCGAGGGCTGCGGGTAAGAAAAGGCCTTATTTCCACCCACCTTCCCTCGGGCTACCACCTTTTCCAAAACGACCCTCTATGGCACACAGATCGATGAGAATGTCCCGGGGACGCCCAGCCCTCGGGCCCTGTCGGCCTGACACGATGCAGGCGCCGGAGCCGCGGCCAGGAGGGCCCTGAGTGAAAGGCTCTCTTCCTCCTGCAGGTGGTACCACGGCGGTCTCTCTCGCCACGCGGCCGAGGCGCTCCTGCTCTCCAACGGCCGGGACGGCAGCTACCTCCTGCGGGACAGCCACGAGCAGGCCGGCCTGTACTCGCTCTCCGTCAGGTGGGTGCGAGCCCACCCCGCTGGGCAGCGTCCAGGGAATGGGGCTGAGCACCTCGCAGGCTGTCTAGTTGAACCTCTTTTTTTCTCTTTTTAAAAATAAATTTACTGGGCCTCCCCGGGGGCGCAGCAGTTGAGCGCTGGGTTGCGGAGCTGCCCGCAGCCTCTGCAGCGCCGGTTCGATCCCCGGCTGCTCCCCGGCCACCGGAGGAGGGTCCCGCATGGCGCGCAGACCTCTCCTGCCGCCCGCTGCTCCCCTCAGCAGTGTCCTTCGGTCCCTCTGCCTGCTCTGCTCCCCGCTCTGGCTCTGGTGAATTCTCTCACCTTCCCGCGCTTCTAACTGTACCCAGTGCTTGTATAAACAAAACAAATAAAATAAATAAATAAATAAAACATGCCTCTATAAAAAAAAAAAAAAGAAAACTCTACAAAAAAAAAAAAATTTTTTATGAACACAAGAGCTGGGGTACAGGCAAGAGATGTGGGGGGTGAGAGGATTCACCAGAGACAGAGTGGGGAACAGAACAGGCAGACTGATGAAATACACTGCTGGGGGAGCAGCGGGCGAGGCAGGAGAGGTCTACCGCGCCCTGTAGGTAGTTCCCTGGCTGGGGATCGAACTCGTGCTGCACAGGCTGCGGACAGCTTAACCCCTTGCGCCACCAGGGAGCAGAAGCCAGGCCCTCAAGGTGGGGTGTCCTGCACACCCCGGGCTCCCATGCCCTTCTGCACCGGCTCTCTCCGGTCATCACAGGGCTGTGGCGAGGCCACTTTCAGAGCCATGGAGCCAGCAGGCCATAGCACGGTCAGTGTTTTCTAGAAATAGACCGACCCCCTTCTAGAGACTCTGCCGAACCCCCATTGTTGAGAAATGACTTCACCCCAGCCGTCCCCAGCCAGACCTGCAACTGTCAGCCCTTCTGGGTCCTCCACATGCTGCTCCCGGCACAGGCAGATCGCGGCAGGCGGACGGGGGGCAGGGAGGGTCACGTGACTCGGGAAAGGACAGGGCTAGGCTCGGGCGACTCCCCCGACGGTGGCAGGCAAGGAGGGGGCCACTTGGGGAGGGGCGCACCCCGGTTTCTGGCCTCGGTCACCTGCCCTCTGACGTTCTGCCCCTTCAAGGCCGACCCGGGATGAGGAGCAAGTGGGAGAGCTGTGGGAAGCCCCGTCTTCCACGGGGGGCGGGCTGAGAGAGCTGCGCTCGCACCGTCCCGTGTCAGCCGCCGGGCCGTGGACCCCGCGGGCCGGGCCTCCCGCTGGTGCCGACACCCACCGTCCCTTCCCCAAAGCGCCGCATTTTCTCCATGACAGCAAGTAAGCGTTTCCCGTCTCCCCTCAGAGCCAAGGAGTCCGTCAAGCACTTCCACGTGGAATACACCGGGTACTCATTTAAATTCGGCTTCAACGAGTTCTCGTCTCTGAAGGATTTTGTCAAGCACTTTGCCAACCAGCCTCTGATCGGCAGCGAGACAGGTGAGAGACCGGGGCGTCCCGCGGGCGGCGTTTGGGTGAAGGGGCGGAGGCGGGGGTAGAGGAAGCAGCGGTCACCCCCACAGCAACCGGCTTGTTCAGAAACAGTTCTTTCCCTACACCGCGCCGCACGCTCCGTCACAGACGACATCAGTATCACGGGCTGCGTCCACGGCAGATATTTTTCAGGATGTTATCTAGTAAATTAAAAGCACATCATTTCTTTAAAATAACCCGTTCATTTCATAATAATACACACAAACCTCACCCCAAAGTCACCCGCCATTTTTGATTCCTCCTAACTCTAGGTATGGGCAGTTTGCTTTTTTGCAGAGACCCATAAAATAATTTTGAGCATTTTTATTTATTTTTTATTTTTTTTTCCATTTTGTGTGCTCTATTTAATTGGCAATTAATAGTCTCAAAAATCTTTCTCTTCATCAGATGTTTGATCCCCTTGCAAAACTTTTGGTCTTTGAGCTTGAACATGGAGCTTTACTCCATCAGTAACATGATTTTCCTGCTGTAGTGCGTTACGAAGTTCTTCTTCTGAAGAGAACTGAATCCAACCCATACCTCTGTGAAAGCCAGTCTCGTTGTCGAAAGGTAGAGAGCACCTGCGTACATGTCCAAACTGCGCGAAAAGTTCTCTCAGCGCAACCGAGTTAGCGGTCCAGGGAATTTTTCTGACAAAAGCAACGTGCCGGCCCATATTGGCCCGCAGCGCCACAGCGCCTCTCACTGCAGAGGCCGCCATTTCCCGGCTGGGCACCTCCGGGACCCGTCATTTTGAGCATTTTTAAAATAAAAAATCCATATTCAGATTTCCGGACACCACCGGATATTGCAAACAGTGCCTGAAAGGGGCTCGCCTGGGCAATCCCTTCACTTCCCGGTAGAATCCTGCTTCTCCCGCCTGGTTTCTCGTTTGACTGGTTGGAAGTTCAACCAGCAGGTCAGAAAACACACGGTCGTGGTGCCCGAATTATCTGACTCGTCTGTACCCCTCCAGTGAAGTAAAAGCCCAGCGCCCTGCGCTGGGGCCACAGACTCGCGCTTCTCGCGTCCTAAGCCCCCTGGCTGGTCAGAGGCGGCCCGCCCCGAGGATCCTGGCGCCGGGGCCGCTGTGCTTCCCACACAGGCCTCCGCGAACGGCCACCCACGCTTGGGGGACCGTGGTGAGGGGCTTTTCGCTAACCTCAGTGCAGGGTGAAGAGGCGCCCCGGCTGCTTGTTCCCTTTCCGCCACCGTCTGGCCTGGAGAAGCCCCGGTGTGGCCCGCACGGCGGCAGTGGACAAAAAGCGCAGAGGACACCAGGCCACGGCCTGCGGGGGGTTTATCGCCGGGGCTGCTTTGGCCTGACCGGGTACTTTCTCTCCTCCTGGGTCTGCTCTCAGCCTTGGTGCCTGCAGCGTCCCCCTGACGCTCAGTTCCATTGGAGTCTTGGTCCCGGCAGTGGAGAAAGGCCACTGACTGAGGCCAAGGACTTTGTCCGCTTCGTGCCTGTCCTGGTCCGGGCGCTGGGCCCCGGGGTGGCTGACTCCTGGCGCCGCGTGGTCCCCCACGCCCTGGAGATTGTGACCTGTAGCCTGATCTTCCCCAAGCATAGCCACTGCCCTGCGCCCAAGCTCCTGGACTCACTTCCAACCCCTTCAGTCATGCCGTGCCCTCCCTGGACTGTCGCCCAGCTAGGGAGAGGGGAACACACCTTTGCCCCTCCTCTGTTACAGCCACCACCCAACAGGGCCGTGGCCGCTACTTGAGTCCCTGCTCAGGGTGACGGTGCTGATGGGGACGCACTGGCCCCCCGGGGAGCGCCCCCGGCTGCTATCGGTCCCAGCCACACACAGGCGGGCCACAGAGGCCGGGGACAGAGGAGAAGCCACGACGATGGGGCTCCGATGCTGCGGCCCTGGGCTAACAGGCCTCAGGAACAAGATAGCACGAAGTCGTGGGGAAGCTCACGCCCCGAAGGCCCTCGGAAGCCAGAGTCGGCTCTGGGAGGAACAGCGGGTGCAAACTAGGCCGCCGGCTTCTGAAAATAGTTCCCCTCTTGTCCACGGAAGCACCGGCCACCGCGTCTCCCCGCGGCCAGGGCCTGCCAGGCTTCCTCTGAGGGTTTCCCGCTCACAATCAGAAGAAGTGCAGATTCTTCCTGAGGCGCTGTCCATGACAGATGGCCGTGGGAAGCAGGAGCCCGGCAGTGAGAGGCCCTGAGGGCCGCCCCTCCAGCCTCCCGGAGCGGAATGCACCAGAGCTGGGCACTGCAGGCCAGGCTCTCAGCCCGGACGCCCGAGCAGCCCACCCTCGAGGGCTGGAGGAGTCAGTTCACTGTCCTCCTTACTCTCGCCCCCGGCAGGGTGGCCGGTGTGCAGGTGACCGGCAAGCTCACACCGTGCCCGGTGACACAGATGTCTCCATGAGCGGGAAACCCAGAGCTCTTCGGAGTCACGAAATGTCTGCGCGCGGAGAGGAAACACATGGCCCCGGAGGGATGAGCGCCATTTTAAGAGGCCACTGTTCTAAGCACGGGTCTGCCCGCCCCAGCATCTTTTACCAGGCCCTTGTACAGCGAGCTCAATCTCATACATAGTCTTCTTCTCAGATATTTTTTCTCTCGCACACATATCTTCATACGTACAATGTCTTCTCCTAGAGCTCCTCTATTTACAGTGGAGGGGCCTGTGGGGGAGTCCCGGGTGGGCTGTGGATTCAAGAAAGCCGATGTCACGCCCCGGGCCCACTCAGCCTGGCAGCTGCCAAGGGACTGTCTGGACCCCGAGGGACACGAGACAAAGCACCGGCCCCTGACACACCCGCTCAGGGGCACCAGCTCCCCGTGACACTTTCACACACGCACGTCTAGAGCCTGAGCGGGCTCCTCCCGCAGCCAGAGCCCAGCCAGGCTGCGAAACACACGGGAGAGGCGGTAGCTCGACCCGGCGCTCAACTCCCTCCGATCTGCGGGCACACAGCTGCTTGTCGTGTGCGTGTGCGTGACTTGCTGTTCTGCTGCTGGTGGGTGGGTCCTGAGCCCTGGCTTCTCCGCCTGTGCCTCTGGAGGCATCAGATCCCGGGCGCCTCCCCACTGACCACCGTCCCTCCCTGGAGCCGCCCCGGAAATGCTCTCAGGTGCCGGCGGCAGTCAGGTCAGCCACAGAGAGCTCTGGCGTGGACTCAAGCAAGGTCCCCTCACTCTCCCTTGCGCCTCCCGCCCCTCGCGGTTTCCTGGAGGAACCGAGAAGTTTCTCTTGGAGGAAGTGACCCCAGCATCCCCCTGGCGCGGAGGAGACTTCCCCATGGACCCCTTGGATGCTTCTCCGTCTTCTCCGCGGAAGCCAGACGCGCTGCTGAGTCCCGCGGGGCAGCCCCAGGCTTTGGGGCCCGCAGCCGTCTGGGACAGCCCCCCCCCCCCAGGGCTGGCGCCTGCAGGGCCAGAAGCCACGCCGGGCTCCGAGAGAGGTCTGCGGCCCCCTCTGGGCCAGGCGCTGGCCCGGGAACGCATTTCAGGCCACAGAGCCGGGCAGGTCCTGGGCGCGCGGACTCGGTTCTCGTTTTCATGCGAGTCTGAGCTCCGCCGCCGCCGCAGTAGCTGCCACCGCTCGAGACGGGAAAGGCAGATGGCGTGCGTCCTCTGCCTGCGCGGCCCCAGTCCGGGCAGAACCGACCGTGCCCCTCGCTCGTCGCGTCTGCGGCAGCACGTGTGCCTGCGGGGCTCTCCGCTCCAGCCGGCCCGGGGATCGGGGATCGCGCGACTTCCATCAGCCAGCCGGCGGGCGACCTGCGCCGAGTCTCTGCTCGGGCTCAGCCCGCGGAGCGGCAGGTCCAGCTCTGAAGACCTCCGGGTCTCTCCAGCGCCACGCGGCCACTTCTCTTTTCTTCAGCTGCGGGGATTCCCAGCCTCCGGAGACGGCTGCGGCTGCGGCTGCGATTGCGGTTGCTGCACTAGAGCCTTGACCCGGGTGGAATTTTTAAGTTAAGGTGAAATTTTTACTTTTGAGAACGGTGACACTTCTGCAGACCTCCTGTGCTGACGTGGGGTTCTGCCGAACCACAGCCAGGAATGACTTCTTTAGTTTATGTTGGCTCAAAAAATGGGTTTTTCTTAGTTTATAGACGGTGTCGTTGAACGAGGAGGCAGCAGGCCAGGGCGGGACGACTCCCTCCTCTGCGGAGCGTGCACTAAATTCCAGGCAGCCTCACGTTTTCACAAATTCAAATTCCTTGAACTTCTGAATCCCCACAGCCGAGCGGACCAGTCCACGGCCCAGAGAGGGCCAGTCAGCCGCCCAGGGCTGCAGAGCTGGGCGGCTCAGAGCTGAGACCGGGGGGCGGGCGGGCCGCCCCGGGACTGAAGCAGCCTCAGGACTCTGAGTGGGTTTGAACTTTCGTCCTGTCTTTGTTGCTGGTCTAATTTGGGTTTCAAAAATTGCCCTTTGAGAAATTATACTAAAGAAAAAACTTTTTTAGGAAATCCTATTTTTTTTAGCTGTTCAAACTTCCAAAGAAATATTACAAGACTTACTGCCTCTCGTATCGGAAACGACAAGCAGTGATCTTTAACCCTGGGTGTGAAGGCGACATTCCCTGCCTTTTGCAGGTGTTGACGTGCCACGGATACGCGCAACATTTTGTTCTTAAAGCGACAACATTACATGCTTCCAATATTGTTGATTCCTTGATTAACCAGGGAAAGGATGGGCAAGGCTTTTGGTATTGTTCTCTTTCCTTTCTCTACATCCTCTTGTCCCTCCCCCCCCCCCACCTTCCTGGTCACCGCAGAGCCACCGAGGTAGGTCCCGGCGTCCACCGGTTTTCACAGGTACCTGACTTTGTCGATTCATCTCTGTAAACGTCCGGCATTTGTTTTCATCGTTCTCACTTGCTTCACCACACATAATGCTCTCAAATTCCTCCACTTGGCTGAAAGGGGCTGCATGTCATCTTTCCCGTGGCTGGCAGACATGCCACAGCACCCACGCACGAACACCTCCTCGTTCCGCCCTTGGCGGCTGCCCCTGGCAGCTGCCGCCACGTTCCGGCGATCGTGAGCGACGCTGCCGCGGAACACGCTCTCGTGGCGTGGATGGTTTTATGTGACTTTTCTAGGTTCCTGAGAGTGGGACGCCGGGTTACGTGGCATTTCCATTTTTAGTTTTTGAAGGTTCGTTCGGGTGGTTTTCCGTAACAGTGACACCCGTTGACATTCCCAGCCAGGGGGACCGGGATTCTCCCTCCCCCTTTCCAGCACTGGTTGGGGGGCTGGGTGGTCTGTGCCGCCCTCAAAGGCGCGCGTGCCCATGCGCTGTCCTTTCAGCCTGCAGCCCTCTTAGTGGGGAGATGATGAACAGTTTTGCACCTCTGTGGACCTTCTAGACAGCTTCGTGGGTGACTATCCTCTTCATAGATGCTGCCCGCGAACAGGGTTGTTTGTTATTGGCGAACGGTGTGATTTGTACCTAGCCCAGGCGCAGGAAACCCCCATCGGGTAAACCTGCTGTAAATACTTCCTCCTATTCAAGAGGGCATCTTTTTAAACTTCTTGTATTTTCTTTCACTATATAAAAATTGTAAAAATTGACGTAATCCCGAGAGTTTATTTTTATTGCCATAAGGGCTGAATCACCAAAAAAAACCACCTTTCTCGTTGATGTCATGGGATGTGTTGCCAAAGTGTCCCTCTAAATATTCGGTTACAGGTCTTCTCGCTAAGTATTTAGTGTATTCGGGGTTTACTTCTGTACCTGGGGTTAGCGAGTGATCCAACCTCGTTCTCTCGTGCGTGGCTTTCCAGCTTTCCCAGCCCCATGCACTGAAGACCTGGCCTTGCCTCGGGGTATGGCCAGAGCTGCGCGGCCCCAGGTGAGGCACTGACGTGCACATGCATTTATTTCTGGGCTCTTGAATCTATTCAGTGGATGCCTGGATCCACTTCTTGTGCCCACACATCCTGTTTTTAGTGCTGATCCTTTAGAGTCTGAAATCCGGTGGTGTGATTCCAGCGTTTCTCCTTTTTTCTAAGAATTGCTTTTATAACTAGAGGCCTTCTGAGTTCCTGTGAATTTCAGTCTACTTTGTTCAACTTCCTTAAAAAATACTGCGAGCATTTTGTACATTATATTTGTACATCTTTTTTTTTTTTTGGCCTCCCTGGGGGTGCAGCGGGTTGAGCGCCGCGCTGTGAAGCTGTCCGCAGCCTCGGCCGCGCGGGTTCGATTCCTGGACGGCCAGGGAGATTCCCGCATGGCGCGGCAGACCTCTCCTGCCGCGCCCGCTGCTCCCCTCAGCAGTGTGTTTAGTTGATCTACCTGTTCTGCTCCCTGCTCTCTCTCTGGTGAATCCTCTCACCCTCCCACACCTCTGGCCTGTACCCCGGTTCTTGTATAAATCAATCCTAAAAAAAAATTGTACATCATTTCTGGCAGGATAGTCATTTTGGTTCTATTAATTCTCCCCGCCCATGAGCATGAACATCCCTCCGCATCTCTATGTTGCTGTCCAAGTCCTTTAAGAATATCTTCTTCTCACTGTGTATGTCTTTCATCTTCTTAAGTTAATTCTGAGGCATTTTTTTTATTTTTCACATTTTATTTAAATTTTATTTTTATATTCCTCATATAATTACAACCCCCTTATTTTGACCCCAAGCCCTCCTCTCCCCGCCCCCCACCCCACCATAGAGTGTCTCCGGTTCATAGTTTGTCGATTTTGATATTTTCTTTCTTATAGTAATTCTTTTTCCTGGTCCCTTATTTAAGTGTTCTAGATTCCTGCTATGAGTGAGGCGTTTCTTTTTAAAGCAATTATAAATGGAGTTATTTTCTTAATTGCTTTTACTCGCTGTTGTTTGTATATGAAAAACAAAGTTAGGGGTTTTTGTTCGCTGGTTTTGTAACCTGCCGCTGTGCTGCATCCAGCTGGTGCTTCTAATGACTTTTTGATGGAGTCTCTAGGCCCGCCCACACCGAGCATCGCCTAGGAAAAGTGAGTGTCCCTTGTTTTCCTACACGGATGACTGTCTTAAAATATAAAAAGGCCGACTAGAAAATAAAAGCCACCGAAATATGTAGGCCCACGTCCCCCACCTCTCTCCAGAAAGGATAAAAAGCAGCTCAGTGTGGGCTCTTTGCAACTCCCACCCAGTCCTCCTGCAGAGCACCCACTGGAATACAAAGCAGAAAACAAGTGAAAGAAAGTCACAGCAAGGGGGGAAAACCCCTTTCCTTACTCGTCTGCGGTTTCTGGCAGGATGGCTGGGGGAGGGGCGTGCAGAGGGGAAACGGCGCTGAGCCCTGGGGGCGTGCCAACCCCCGTGCGCCCCGGCCGAGGCCAGCTGAAGGGTCCCCTGCAAATGGAAACGAAGGCGACCGTGCGTGCAACAGGCCTGCACCTCATGCTCGCAGGAGCGTGGCCGAGGCTGCCGAGAGCCGGTCCTCGGCCCCGCGGATCGGGTGCTAAAAGCACCGACTTGCTACAGGTGTATGCTGAAGCCAGTGAACAAGGGCAGAAGAATAAGCTGCCCCGGCCCAGTGCGTCTTTGTCAGGTGGTTTCACGACCTACGAAGGCCGCTTGGAAACCAGTCACCCCTCAGGCTGGCCTCGTGGCGTGACTGCTGAGGGTCACCCCGGCCATCGGCTCACGATGACGTGCACTCAGGGGGCACCGGGGGTCAGCAGTCCCACGGGCTGCGCCTCCTGCTCAGCGCACAGCTGTGCCCAAGAGATGCTGGGAAACGAGAGATGCCTCCGCTGGGCACGCTGACCTGGCTTTGTGCCCGCAGGCACGCTGCTCGTCCTGAGACACCCCTACCCCAGAGCGGTGGAGGAGCCTTCCATTTACGAGTCTGTGCGGGTCCACACGGCCATGCAGACCGGGAGGACGGAGCACGACCTGGTGCCCACCGCGCCTTCGGTGAGTGTCGCGCTGGGGGGCCCTGCGTCCGCCTCAAGTGATGAAGGTGGGGGGGCGGGTTAAAGTTCAATTGTTCACATAAAAACTCTAGCTTGGCATTGAAAACTGGGGAGGAAAAGAAGCCTGGCCAGTAGGGCTCGGTTCCTCGGGTCGCGGCAACGGCGTGAGGACGTGCCTGGTCGGGCGGGGCGCAAGAGCAGCGGGCCTCGCAAGTTCAGTGGGGGACATTTCCCCCACTTGTGGGTTAAACATTTCCCGTTGGCTTAAGAAACTTCTGGAATAACAACATGTTGCAGTGCAATACGAACATGTCTTCACCGAGTCATGGCACCGACGCACACGGGCACGCCGTCCACCCAGCCCTGTGGTCCTCCCATGCGGGCCGGGCCGCTCTGTGGGCCGGGCCCCTCCGGCACCCGCCACCCCACCTCAGGCTGCTGTCCTCCTCCTGGCCTTCTCCCAGCATGAGGCCCTGGAGCGCACGCGGCCGTGAGCACAGAGCCGGCCCTCGCTGGTGACCATCACATCTGGAAAGTAAAAAGCCCCCCGGAGGCCCAGCTGCCTCACACGGAGAACGTCCCCCCGCCCGCCGCGTGGGGCTCCTGCAGGCCCTGCCTGCTGCACAGCGCCCAGCGCTGCCCCCCGCCCCGCATCACCCCGGGGCCTTCCCAGGCCCCTCGTGGTTGACCCTCAAATGCCCCGGCCGCCTTCCCAGGCCCCACGGCCCTCTGGCCTGGAGCTGTCACGCACAAATGGCGCCTGCCCGGCCTCCCCTCCTGCCCCGAGGCCGAGACTCTGGCCGGCGGCCAGCTGTGGGCCTCCCTCCAGCCGACAAAGGGGCCTGCCTGCTGCGGCTGCACAGGTCCCCCAAATACAGCCCTCGACCTGTTCGCGACAAGCACACCTCGGGCGGCGGGACAGACAGCCCAGGTCACGGCCGGCCCGGAGCGAGGGCCAGGGCGCCGTTGCCCCTCGCTCCTGCCGGGCGTCCGGTCCCGGCCCGGTCAGGGCCCAGCAGGTGGCCGCGGGGCCGCCCAGGTGCCGAGCGTGGGTCAGCCGAGTTGTAGCAAGGCCGCCCGGCACCCTCGCCCCCCAGGCACCCTCCCCGGACCCCAGCTGCTGCTCACCTCCCTGCCCCCCAATCCCCGCGCTGCTCACCTCCTGCGCCCCCAACCCCGCTGTTCACCTCCCTGCGCCCCCAACCCCGCTGTTCACCTCCCTGCACCCCCACCCCCGCGCTGCTCACCTCCCTGCACCCCCCCGCTGACCCACTCCCCGCGTCCTCGGGGCGGGCTGAGCTGGACCGCGGGCGCTGCAGGCCGGCGTCCGGCTGTCCGGGGGTCCGGGCGTCCGGCTGTCCGGGGGCCCGGGGGACCCCGAGGCCCCAGCCCGGGCGCGGGAGCCCCAGCGAAGCGGCCACGCGGGCGCTTACCGAGGCCCATGGCGGGCCCCGCCCACTCCGCGCAAACGCGGCTGTGATTGGTGGAAAGTCCCAGCGCTGATTGGTTGGGTTTCCGTTCTGGGCGTGGCTTGCCCTGCGCTCTGCGACGACCCAAGGCGCGAGCCTCTGGCGCACCTGCCGCGCCGCACACCTGCCGCGCACCTGGGGCGCACCTGCCGCACACCTGCTGCACACCTGCCGGCGCCCCGCGTCGCTCCCCGCCTCGGACGGCGCCCTGTTCGCGGGCTGTTCACCGGCAGCGGGCGGGCTCCGGGCGAGCAGGCGGGCGCACACCTGGGCAGACCTGGCCTAACCCCCGGGCCCAGAGCCCGGAGTCGCCGCGCTCACCGGGCCGCGCCCAGCGGGGCGCGCGGTTGGGGCCCGGGGGGCCCCTCGGTGCTCGCGCCCGCACCCCCGGGCGGGGGCTCGGGCAGCGGCCCCGCCCCGGCCGCCCCGGCCGCCCCGCCGGGCCCTCCCGGGCGCCCCCCGCGGGAAGCCAGGCCCGCCGCCTTCGCCCCCGGGGCGTCCACGCGGCCTCCGATCAGATTCAGGGTTTTTATCGGGGGCGCCCGCCAAAGCGACGCGCCGGGGCGCCCAGCCCCCCGCGCCGGGACCGGGACGGGCCGCCAAGCCCTGCGCCTCCCGGGGCGCGGGGGGCCGCGCGCTCCTCACCCCAGGCGCACCCCCTGCCGGGGGTGGGGGCGGCACCGGGCACGGAGGGACCCGCTCGGCCGCCACGGGTCGCCCAGACCCCGCTCCTGCGCCTGCCCCCCAGGCGCTCGGGTGTCCCGGCAGGCCCGCGACCCCATGTACCCCTCACCTCGCGTCCGAGCCGTCTGGCTTCCGTCCTCACGTGTCTTGATCTCCCCAAGTTCGCCCAGTCAGAGCCCCTCAAGGCAACGCGCGTGTCCACCCACAAGTGGGAATTTTCCTCCTCTGTGGCTCCGCAGAGCTCCGGGCGGTCCAGGCTCCCGCCCGTCTCAGCCGCGGCTCCCTGGGCCGCTCCTCCTGTCTCTGGAGAGAGACTCGGAGGGGCCTGGCCCGGCTGCTCACCACACACACCCCTCCCTGCCCTGCTCCCCCGCTCGCTCTCCACGGGGCGCACCAGGGGCCCCGCTACTCGCCCAGCACCACAGGACCCACTCGATTTTCCTCCGGGGGCACAGCTGCGGCTCCCGCCCACAGCCAGGACAGACAGCCCGTCCTTCCGACAGCTCCTTGTTCGCTGGTCACTCAGTCTCCAGGTGCCAGGCGCAGCCCTGCCTGACCACGCCACTCCCACGGCTGCCGCAGGTGCCCCGCCTCCCTGGCTAGTACTGACACCACCTGCCCTCTCAGTGCTGCTGCCTCGGCCCTGCCCACAGCGCTCCCTGCCCTGCGTGTGCATCGGTGTGCGCTATGCCACGCGCACGGCAGCGCCCGCTGCTCACCCCAGAAACTGATGGTGCTGGACTGCCCGTAAGCCAGCTGGCCAGACAGGCCAGCAGATCCTGTTTAACAAAACGTGGGTTGTTTCTGATTTGGGACTCACAACCATCTCTCCTGTTGAGAGCATACTTGTTTTTTTTTTTTAGATTTATTTATTTATTTATACAAGCACTGGGTACAGTCAGAAGCGCGGGAGGGTGAGAGAATTCACCAGAGCCAGAGCGGGAAGCAGAGCAGGCAGAAGGACCGAAGGACACTGCTGAGGGGAGCGGCGGGCGGCAGGAGAGGTCTGCGCGCCATGTGGGTCTCTCCCTGGCCGGCCGGGAATTGAACCTGTGCTGCAGCTTCACAGCACAGCGCTCAACCGCTGCGCCACCGGGGAGGCCCAAGAGAGCATAGGTTTTTAAAAAGATAAACCTGCAATATAATTTCCTTTCTCACCTCAAGATTATGGATAAAGCTGGTGTTCTCAGCCTCCCCCCTGCAGCCTTCCACTTACCTAGCAAAACCCTGAAAACTAGACACGATAGACAGTGCGAGGGAGGTCAGACGGTGAGCGACGGAACACCTTAGCTGGGGTCCAATGAGCAATTCTTCAGGGTCTCTGTCAATTTACCGTTAATATTTGGCTCTGCGGACATAGCCTACAAGAAGCCTAAATGTTAACTTTTGCCATTTCTGTACGCGACACCGGAACTCCATTCCGTCAGCTCAGTTACTTTTACTATCAGAATCACAAAATCAAAACTGCTTGTGATAAATTCTCTGGTACAGTTTAACGTTATTTAAATGATCACCTGGGAATTCACTCTCACTTTAGTGACAACAGATTTTTAAGGGAAGTAGTCATTTATTACTTCCCGTTCTAACTCTTTTTTTACCGTCCTAGTGATTGTTCCTCTTTTTATTTGGTACGGAGAACTCAACTCAGGAGAACATACTCTGGAAACTCCCATAAAAAGAACCTTGATGTCAACCAAGTCATTTTCCAGTTGCTATTCACTTTTTCCTTGAGCATAGAGGAATTATATCCTTATTAATATCAGTAATTGTATGTATAATATAGAACATGTATGTTGTTAATATTTAATATTGACATATTAAATCAAAAAATCTGACAAGAAATTTAATTTCTTCAGACACTTATGAAATAAATTTCTTTATCTTAGGGTCCTTGTTTTTTGCAAATTTCTATTCACAGGGTTGGCCATCCTGCCTTTTATCTCAGAGGTGACAGCTACGTGTGTGATCGCTGTCACCTTTGCATGGATGATCTGAGTGAAAAGAAATGACTCATTTTCATGTCAGGATAAATCAAATGTAAATAAACCTACTTCTGGGCCTCGCTGGTGGCGCAAGGGGTTAAGCACAGCGCTGGGAAGCTGTCCACAGCCTCTGCAGCATGAATTCGATCACCAGCCAGGGAGCGACCCACATGGTGCGGCAGACCTCTCCTGACTCGCCCGCTGCTCCCCTCAGCAGTGTATTTCAGCCAGTCTGCCTGTTCTGTTCCCCGCTCTGTCTCTGGTGAATCCTCTCACCCTCCCGCATATCTGGCCTGTACCCCGGTTCTTATATAAATAAATCAATCTTAAAAAAAATAAATAAACCTACTCCTGCATGGAATATCGGTCTCAAAGAGGGGGTTGGAGGAGGATCATGTGATAAAGTGGGTCAAAAATGCTATTTGTATTGTTGTCTCTTAAAAACTCACGGAATGTATTAGCATAACCTGGTCTCCGGCAAGGCCCGAAGTGAAGAAACCCCTCAGTTCTTTTCACATAGCCCTCGCCAGAGCTGCCCTGCGGCCCCGCTGTGCGAGCGTGACGCCCGCATCGGCCAGAGCAGCACTCACGTTTCTAAGTGAGTGACGCGGCGGTGTGCCAACCGCCAGCTCAACTGCAGTGAGGAGTCTTGATCGTGGAGCCTCGTGAAGAACGAAAGATTAAAGCTCAGAGAGAACTTCAGCACAGGGCAGGGAGGGGCAGGAAAACCACGCTAGGATGATTCTGGGCCTCACGCGCTGCTTCTCTTTTTCAGCTGGGCACCAAGGAAGGCTACCTCACCAAACAGGGCGGCCTGGTCAAGGTAAGCGCCACTCATTCTCACCTCCTTGTAAGATTTGCGAATGTCAAGAGTTTGACTTTAATGGCGAATAGTCAAGATTCTGCAAAGTTGCTTGGCTATTCTTTGGCAAAGCCAAAGGCAGGAGAGTGACCTACAGTTAATACCCAAGAAAACACACAGTCCTTTGAATGGAAAGACCCAGGATGAAAGTAGCAAGTTAACTCTAAAACACACATTACTTTTTTTTAAACAAAGAAGTTAAAATTGTATAAAATGTGTGATCGCTTGTACTAGTGTAACTGGTAAAAAAAAAAAATTCAAAGGAAACACAATTTCGAAGGATACTGGGGGGGGGGGTATCCACCCATCCTTCCACCTGTTACCTGCCCTGGAAGGTACTGTTTCATGTGAATGTGCCAAGAAGACCTTCGAGAACATTCTGCTCATTCCACTCTCTCACCTGTCCTGGTCTGCTGAATTCAACCTAACTGGTTAGTCATTTGTGTACCTAAGGACAGGCTCTGTTCATGCCCATGGCGACTGTATTTTTAATTGCATGAACTGTTACTTCTTTAACTGGACACAGAGCCATCCAGGAGAAGGTTTGGACTCTGCTGTGACAAGGAGACACTGGCAATAGCGGTTTTTGCCACTGAAGTCAGGCAGTTTTTCGATGTGGCTTAAAATACCACGTGGTGTGAGGTTCCTAAAACTCAATGCGCTTATTTGTAAAATAATGATATTTTACCTTGTATGAGGGTTATTATATATATACATATAAAATATATATATTCATATATAAAATATATATATATAAAACTCAAGGATGGTGTGGAGCACACAGTAGGTCCTCTATCCTTATTGCAGAGGCCCTCAGATAGGAATTATCTGAGTGCAATACATGACAGCATTTTAATCTTTATTAGATATTTAAACTTTTTCCCCTGAAATGACTCTACAACCACATTCTTAAGTTCAAAACCCGCGTCTTTTCATGTTTTTCTTAGACCTGGAAAACACGATGGTTCACTTTGCACAGGAATGAGCTGAAATACTTCAAAGACCAGATGGTGAGAAGCACGACACGTTTTTCCCTTTCAAAATCCGCTTTCTAGACGGCAAGCACATCTGCCGTCCAGACCCGGGTCTCTTCCCTGGGAGCGGCTGCAGCTCCTGACCGGCGATGGGCGTCCGCTCTTGGTCCCGACAGGCGCAGAGTCCTCTCCCGGAGGGGGCCCAGACGTGGTGTCCAGCTGCCCCCGGGCAGCGGCAGGGGCGCCAGGGGTGACTGGCTTCTTCCCCGCCTCAGTGGGCTCTCCTGCAGCAAATCCCTTCTTTATAAAAATGAGCACTTCCCGGGCCCGTTAACCAACATGAAATGGCTCATGTCTTCTCACTTCCCGCCACAGATTTTCTGAAAGCAGAAGTTTAAAAACATGAGAGAAAAAACAGGACGCCTCCCTCGGGCTAAATAAATGACGTTTCCATTCATTTAACGGGAAGAGCAGGGCCCTCCGCCGACCGGCCTCACGGGCTGCTCACGTCAGGAGGCGGAGGGGAGGCGGTGGGGAGCACATCTGTGTGGGGGTGATGACAGAGTCGCCTTTTCTTTTTTTCAAGTCACCAGAACCAATTCGGATCCTCGACTTAACAGAATGTTCGGCTGTACAGTTTGACTATTCCCAGGAACGCGTGAACTGTTTTTGGTAAGTTGTCTCACGAAGGACATGTTTGTAAGTCTTCCTGCCAGACACCTGTCGAGCTGAGGAATAAAAGCCTGTCCATCTTCATGCACAGATTTTGATGGAGGGGTGGGGATTCGGCCATGGCAAAAACTGGAGGTGAGGAGTCCCTTCTGCGGAACGTGACCTGACACAACACCTCCCTTAAGCCAACGGAAAGCAAGCGCTCTGGGGAGGGGTGTGCAGGTCGTGCGCTGCTCAGTGACGATACAGTTCAGAGCACGCAGTCACACCTTAGCTTGATTTCTTCGGGACTTTTCCCTCAAGTTGGATGGTAACCCTGTGACCCCCGCCGTGGAGATGTATGTGACAATTTCTGGCAGATGTAGCCGAAGTGGTTTGTTCTAACAGCTCGGGAGACCTGCCAAGGGGCCGGATAAGGCATGTCTTATTTCCCCTCAGCTTTTCTTGTGGCGGTGCTCAAGTCTACAGCAGTTAGAAGATTTACATTCCCATACACCCTTCACCCGGAGGCACCAGCTGCTACTCCTCTGCCGCCTTTGCTCTCTCTCTGCCTTTTCACTTCCCCCCAAACCCATGAGAGATGCAGATGCCCGGCAGTTTACGTGTAAATACCTGCACGTGCGTTTCCAACATGAAAACACCACCCATGCGACTACCATTTCCACACTGCCAGGATGTGTTCCCTAAACTTGCATGAAGGCACCCTGTGAAGGAGCAGGGGTTTATGTTTCTCATACAAGAAAATACTGGGCGCCGGCAGGTCCCGGGCAAGTCAGGTGCCACGTCTCTGCGCCTCTCCTGGCCTTTTCCTCTCCTTCTACTTCAGAGTCCGAGATGGTCATGCCAACCTCAGCCATCACATCTCTCCACAGGGGAGCTGGAGCCATGGTATCAGCCCTGCCTGTCCATTCTTACCAGGAAGCAGACCTTTCCCCCGAAACTCTTCCATCACATTTCCCACATTCCTCCTGGGCCAAGTCCAGGTTCCATGGCCATCGCTAGCAGAGAAAGACAGAACAGGGTGCCCCTGTGATCGTGATTGGCTCCAACTAATTATAAATTACCGCCTGGGGCTCTGTTAGCAAGAAGAAAGGGAAAATATTTGTATTCACATGCTGCGCACAGGGAGTCCCGAGCAGTGATGACCCCAGTTCTGTGCAGTATCGTTGGAACGCACATCAAGGGGCTTAGCTTGAGTCCGCGCAACAGGAATTACTGGCATGAACAAATCTGTCGCCAAAATGTCATGATACAGAAAATCCTTCTGACTTTCAGCTTAATTCTTTTTTTTTTTTTTTTAAGATTTATTTACTTATGTATTTATACAAGCACTGGGTACAGTCAGAAGCGCGGGAGGGTGAGAGAATTCACCAGAGCCAGAGCGGGGAGCAGAGCAGGCAGACTGACGAAGTACACTGCTGAGGGGAGCAGCGGGCGGCAGGAGAGGTCTGCGCGCCACGTGGGACCCTCCTCCGGGGCCGGGGAGCAGCCGGGGATCAAACTGGCGCCGCAGAGGCTGCGGGCAGCTTCGCAACCCAGCGCTCAACCGCTGCGCCACCGGGGAGGCCCTTCAGCTTAATTCTTTTCAAGAGTGGAGGAAAGAAGTTTTTAGTATTTTGCGTCTAGTGTAAAGACAGGAAAGCGGGGGCAAGATATGTTAGCGTCATTTGGATGAAGGTCAAAGGCAGAGGGATGGCGAAGGCAGAGACACCTTATTTCTAGAACAAGCCTTTTGTGCCAGTGGGAAGCTCATCTTCCTCCAACAGAAACTACCTCACGGCTAGTGGAGGGCAAAGCGAATACCCGAGTTTTACCACCTCTCTGCTGCCCTAAACTGCCGAAGCTGCCTGCACCCACAGCGACAGCGGGGCTCGCCCACACAGCAGCGGACTTCCCTCCACGGGCTGCGAGCCGCCTTCTCTGAACCTCAGCCCAGGGTCCGAGTCATCTGACAGGTCAGCTGAACGGCACGTGCTGCAGTCAGTGTCTCACACGTCGTGCACGTGGGGCCTGGGGGATTCCTGGGCATGTTTTTCCCTTTGAATTCTCATTAGAAAATACAAGTCTGGCCTATTCGCATCCTTACTGTGAATCCACGTTCTCAGCAGCTCTGCCCTCTGCTGCGGGAACAGCTCCGTGGACACCAGCGGCACCAGGCCCTCTGCCAACCCCTCTTCCCTGGGAGGACTAGATCAGTGTCCCCCTAGTTGACATTCCCTAACCCTCCGGAGAATCTGACGTTCTTTGTTTTGTCCCATCAGCTTAGTGTTTCCCTTCAGGACTTTCTACCTCTGTGCAAAGACAGGAGTGGAAGCTGACGAATGGATCAAGATACTGCGCTGGAAACTGGTGAGTCTCGTCTCCCGGGGGCCTGCGACAGCGTGACAGGCTGGGACTCCGAGCCCGTTCCCACGGAGAGTCGGGCTGTGTGGGAGCGGAGCTCAGCTATGTGCAGGCCCACAGGCTGCTCTGGCGGCTTCCCTGGGCCCTCGAAGGGGTGGGGAGCAGGCGCAGAGGAAGGGCTGCCCCGGCATCTCTGCAGAGTCTCCTGCAGGTCCAGCTTCTCCACCTTCCTTTAGGCCGAGGGCCAGTCCAGGCCGGCTGGAAAGGACCTCTGGGACCCGAAGGGCAGACAGAACAGCTGCTGCGCTCCTGCAGGAGGACTCCCTTCCCGGTAGCAGACCAGGAAGGGTGTCTCCAGGGACACAGCTTTACGGCGGTTATGGACAAACGGTTCATTTGCCGTCTGTGTGCCCGCTTATACTGGGCACAGAAGCTGTTTTTGCTTGTTTGCAAGTTAGGGAGCTGATAGCTAAGACGCTTACTGAAATTTCCTATAAATACCATCTTGAAACTATTAATGTCTTCACATGTAGACACTTTCACCTAATTATGATGATGTAATTAGCTGATAGCAGCCTTTTGATGACTCCTTTCCAGACGTCGGGATTTCTGCTTTGGGTTGTCTCTTCGGTCTGACATCCAAACAAATGTAACATTCACTCTGAGAATGTAGCTGACACCCAGGGCGAGGCAGACCGCCGTCTGAAACCTCTGCTCACACAGGAATCAATGTTTTCTCATTTTATAACCACTACAGAAAAATGAAGGTCAAGTATATCAAATGCACTTTCAGACTTTTCCCCTGTGCAAATATTACACAGAAAGTTGAGTCATTCTCTGTGGCCCTTACCTGCTCGCTCCACTTAGCAAGTCCAACAGCTTTCCACAGGGTGCATTTAGAGGCCGTCCTTGAATTCGCTGGGTAGCAGCGCGGTGCAGGTGTCAGGCCGAGTCCCGAGCTGCACAGTTTGAATAAACACATTGCAATATTTCTACTGAGAAAATTCCAAAGAACCAGATTAAAACTTAGAGGGAGGCAGAGAATGTAGTTGCGTAGTTTCCCTGCCGATCGGCATGTCCTACCTCATACTCGCCGGGAGCCGGGCCTCCGTGCCTTCAGGCTGCCGTGACAGACGCTCGTGTGTTCTGTTCTAGTCTCAAATAAGGAAACAACTGGACCAAAGCGAAGGCACAATCCGATCTCAGTCGTTCATCTTCAAGTAGGCCTTTCCCGACCGGGAGGCCCTGCCAGGATCGCCCCCGGCCTGCCACCCTCCCCGGACTTCAGACGAAGCTGATTTTTCTATAAAAACCCATCAAGAGCAGATGCTGATCTGGACCTTCCAGAGCCCACCACACCTGCTGACGAGGAAGCAGCCGCCCAGTCTGGGCCAGGCAGGGAGGGTGGAGGTGGTCTGCGCGGGCTGGACGCAGGGTGGGAGGCGAAGGGGCTGCTCCCAGCGGCCCGGCTGCAGCGTCGGCTCCGAGTCCCGCGGGCTCCCTGGCTGGCTGGCTGCTCCCCAGCCTGGAGGGGAACGGACACCCCGCCGTCCCGCCCCATCCGCGTCCACCCAGGGCTGCCCCACATGCCCCGGCGGCGCGGCCTCCTCCAGGGAGCACTGAGGTGGCAAAATCCAAGCCGGGGCTGCCAGGGGTGGTTTCCATGGTTACAGTGCCACGTGTTTACAGTATTTAGTGACTCGTGAACGGCTGAGAAATCCAGGACTGCTTCCCTCCTAATGAAAACCCGACTCTACACGCGAGGGCTGGACGGGGCAGAGGGCAGGGACCCGGCCGACGACCAATCTGGCCTCACCGGGGGCACGTCCGAGGGGGGAGGCGGCCGCGTGAGAGCGCGAGGAAGTGACCGTCACTGGGACTCGCCCCGCGCCCGCCCTGGAGCACGCACGAGCACTAAGGGTCTCCAGACGGCCGGAGAGACCCCCTGACCCCGCGCCCCTGGAGCTGGGACTGCAGCAGGTCACGAGGGTGACACAGCAATGGCTCCCACTCCCGCTGAGGGAGCAACACTAACCCCAACGTTCAGAAGTAAAGACAGAAATTGGGGAAAGAGACGCCAGCGCTGGCAGCATGTGTGCGCGCCCCGGGCGCCTCTCTCCTGCCCATCCCGCTGTCCCAGCCAGAGACCGAGGGGAGCTGAAGGTGGAGAAAGTGCCTGGAAATAACCACGAGGGTGCAGAGCGCTGAGGGGACACGCTGATGTCCGAGGGCTCCTTGTAAATACGGTTGTTATTTAAACGCCCGGGGCGAGCAGCACATTCCCGTGTCAGTAAGACGGGCGCTGTGCGCGGCTGTGCCCGTCACGGGGGTGCTCGGGCGCCAGGGTGCACGGCGCGTTTGGAGCGAGCAGGAAGGAGAGCGCCTTCCTGGCCCCAGGACCCAGGGTGTCTCCTTGTGCAGTGACACTGTGTGCACGTGTGAAATACGGGCTTCTATTTATTCTTTACTAGAGAAAGTGAGATTTTGCTGTACTTGTACTAGTTTGCTATTAAAATTTGCATTTGTAACTTATTTTTTTTTAAAGATTTATTTATTTTTATACAAGAGCTGGGGTGCAGGCCAGAGGCGCGGGAGGGTGAGCGGATTCACCAGAGGCAGAGCAGGGAGAACAGGCAGACTGATGAAATCCGCTGCTGAGGGGAGCAGCGGGTGAGACAGGGGAGGTCTGCTGCGCCATGTGGGGAGCTCCCTGGCCGGGGATGGAACTTGTGCTGCAGTGACTGGACAGCTTCATGGTGCTGACGCTTAACCCCTTGTGCCATCAGGGAGGCCTCTCAAAAGAACTTAAGATGCAAAGAGTTGTTGGGCTTGTCCTCAAGGTTCTAAGACGGCGGTCTGGCTAAGGACCCCCCTGAACGCAATTTCCCATGGCCCGGCCCCCAAACCCGCTGCGCCACCGGGGAGGCCCTCATCTGTAATTTAAACGAAGTACAAAGATTAGTCTCATGACTAGCAGCGAGGAACCCACCTCAGTTAGACTGAGCTACAGGGAGGCAAAGCTGGGGCCCCAAGCAGAGGTGGAGGACGGCGTGAGGAAGCACAGCATCCTGCAGGCGAGGCTCAGGCTGGCGGGGGGTGCGCGGACGTGCGCACACACTCCTGTTGGCAGGGTGCATGAGCCGACCCAGCATCGTGGGGTCAACACTGGCTGCCGTCCCAGCCTCTCGTCACCCTAAACGGGTCACAACTGCATCTCCAAGAGGGCGGGGCCTCGTGCCGGAGCAGGCCAAGTGGGTTGTTGGGTGGGCATGAGGCCCTGATGCTGACAGGCCTGGGGTCCTATACAGGTTCCCTAGTCCAGTGCATGATGGGAACCCGCTGGGGTCCCTGACCACCTGCCCCATCATGTCGCCCAGCCAGGGCAGGCTTGGCTGGTACCGGGGGGACTTGCCGCAACAGGTCCGCAGCGCGGCACAGCCAGCAGCTCCCGGGCCCTGGCCCTGCACACACAGGGCACGGGTGGAGACTCACATCCCTGTCCCAGACTCAGGGCTGGGGACAGTCACAGGGTGGGCATCAGGACCCCCCTCCTCTCGGCTCCCCCTCACACAGGCTGCGGCACTGGCGTATTTTTGCCAAAGTTCTCCCGGCCAAGCGAACGGTGCTCCAGCACTGAGCTGGGGCACACCCAGCGGCTCCAGGCCTGGCCTGGCGGAAGCAGAGCTGTGGAAATCAGATGTGTGAAGCACTGGATTTCCTCTTTAAAAATATCTGATGACAGACTGGGATTTCCTAAGATCCAAAAAAAAGAAATTACTAGAGAAAGTAAAACTAAGTATCACAATCCTAACATTTCCAGAATAGACACGAAGCGATGGTCACGCGGCTGTAAGCTGCAAACAGCTTCTGCCCTCTGCCCTGCGTGTCCTGCTCACAGCACAGCTCCTACTCAGGAGAGCAAACCCACAGCGAAGCCAGCATCCTGGGGAGGAGCAGCGACTAGGCCTTGGAGCCTCGGGCCGCACTACGTCCCCACTCAGCCCACGCAGAGGGGTGTGGATTATCCAACTCGCCCAGCTGGTGACGCAAACAGCTGTTGTTCCAGATGTGCGCCCGTCCCTTGTAAACTGATGCAGCTGCTGCCCTCCCAGATGCCTTCCTCTTGCGCATTACCAAAGGCCCCGGGGGCAGCTGGCTGTACCTGGCAGGCAGAAGCACGTCCTCCCGTCTGACGCAGGGCGTCTCAGAAGCTGCGGTGCAGCCACCGAGCACCTGACCTCGCCACCCGAGGGCCCCCTCTGCACACAGTCCAGTGCACAGGGCGTGGGTGGGGACCGCGCGCCCCGCAGTCAGCGGGGTGGCAGCTGTGTGAAAGCATGCAAGGGGTGTTCAGAGCGTGGGCTCGGCCCGACGCCAGTGGCAGACTCTGCGTGTGCAGGGACCCGGGAGGAAACCGGCAAGTGCGAGCCGTGGGCGGCGTCCCTGCGAGGCTCTCCTGGGGGGACTCGCTGGGCTGGCGGGAAGCAAACCACGCCACTGAGTTTTTGCCGAAAGTCTCCAAACCAGCCTCTGGTTCGCGTGAATGCAAGGCTGGATGACGTTCTCCTCTGAAAGTTTTGAAAGACCTGCAGGGAAAAACTTGAGTGCTCCAGCTATCCTTAAAAAAAACATATTCAGGTCTGACCAGCAACGACTGTGCTGTTTCTACACGTCAGTGCAAAGAGAACCTGACCGTGAACCCGAGAGCAAGACCACGTGACCACGAGACCGCGGCGGTGACCGCAGCACAGGAGGGACAGACATTCTCTCTGGTTTTCACCAAAGGGGAGCGCCCCGAGGAGTCCTGGGCACACGCCTCTCCGCCACCCGCACCACACACGCGCGGGAAGCCGAGTGATTGTACTGACTTTATTCCTTTCACCTGGCCGTGCTGTAGTTTTCACACAAAGCAGCGACACAAAATGAAGACCAGCCGGTCCTAGTATTCACGACAGAAAGGGCTGCTCCCTCTCAGGCCTGTGTGCAGGGGCCGCACGGAGCATCCGGCTCAAGGGGGTCGAGCTCCATGGTGACTCCGACCCGCCGAGCAGATGTCGCCCACGCCTGGCGCCGCCGTGTCCCCGCGCGGGGGGAGCGCGGCCCACACGAGGAGAGGCCGGCGTGTCCGTAGAGAAGGGGGGAGGGGCGGGCGTTTACTGCTCGGGTACAAGCGCGGTCTCAAGATTGGTGCCTGGAGCTGGGCTCTGACGAGGCAGAGCACACACCGAAGCCACTGTCGGCTTAAGAAACTTCCACAACTTGTCTCAAGGCTTCAAATAATGGAGCGAGTTCCTTTTCTAGGCTGACGATTAGTCCTAAAATGAAAAGAGCAAGACAATGAGCACCCTGGAAAACGTTCTTGAAAAGTTTCACTTCAATTCTCTCTGGTGAGCAGTTACAGGACAGTCCATGACACCAGGGATTCCCTGCACCTGAAACGCGGTACTGTAATTCTAAGCAACAAAACACCCGGCATTTATAATGAAGCTACTTTAATCCTCTATTATCAAAGCAGATGAATACACACACACATATGAGGGGACACGGAATTACACGCCCCACGCTTTTGGAGTTTTAAAAGGAAAACCTTAACGGTTCAAAATCTGCGCTGACTCGGAAATAAATACACCGTTTTTACTAAATAAACGTTTCCCCTGATTCTTAACAAACCCGACCAACAGACAGGGGGCTCTAACCTCGAGCAAAGAAATAAGCGCCCAAATAGACTCCAGACACCCCAGCTGACCGCGCAGCACGTGTGCTACTGTGTAGCGTCCTCACAACTGAGGTTTCCTTTACTCCAGTCCGGACGCCTCTACCCTCCTCTGTAATTTACAAAGCTCTCCACCCCAGGTAGTTTTTACGATAAAAAACGTGGTTTTTTTTGCTAGAAGATTTAGAGAAGAGACCCTACAGCTCACCCCGCCGAACCCGCTCATCTTACAGACGACTTCTCTAAGGACGCGGCTGGAAACAACTTACTCAAATAGCTTGGAAAGGAAACACAGGAAGTTCAGGTCTGAAGAGCAGTCACATGTGAAGGAGACTCACCTTTCACAGTCCCACTTAATCCAAAGGGAATCAAAACATGAAAACGGGCCGCGCCTTGTCATGTCACCCGTGACAGCGCAGGGAAGGCCGTGGCCGTGGGCAGCTCCCCTCCCCGGCCCTCCCATGCGGGAACCACTCTCCACTTTGAGCTTCAGGAAAATCATGAGCTTGTTCGCCCTCCTCGTCCTCGCTACATCCTCGCCCACATTCGCCCTGGCCCGCGCACCCAGGGGAGCGGCACACCCCGCCCTCGCTGTCTGCTCTGCCCTGTTCGCCAGCATCTCCGGAAGCCGACTTTGAGCAAAATGCAGCAATCCAAAGGCGAGGACGTGTCTGATGCTGCTTTCTATTTTCAAGGGTCTCATACTCACACACCACCCCGCCTGGACCAGAAGGGCCCTCAGAGAGGCGGTCGGCTTCACATACGGGAACGGCAGCCCGAGCGCAGAGGTGCTGCCGTGAGAGAGCAGGCAGCAAGGACGGGGCAGCTGGGCTCGGACTGCGGTTTTCTGGCTGTCACCCACTATTCCCAGAGGGTCCGACTGCTCACCGCGGACGGGAGAGCTGCACGCAGGGCACCGAAACTCACCTGTGTTGGCACTGCTGCTGGCGATGAAACTCACCACCAAGGGCAAGCGGTTGAACTGAACCACCTAATAAGAAAACGAGGTGGGAATCAGGGGTCGTGCTGTGAAGCTGGTCATCAGTCAGACGCAACAGCTCCACCTTTCAAAGGCCTAGCGTCGCCACTCGCCTGCCATCACGGCGGCGTCACGGAGCACGGAAGGCCGGAAATCAACACCGGCATGTGCGCAGAGCCCAGTGCTGAGCGCCGCTCAGAGGCAGTCACGCCGCCGCCCGCGCCCTCCTCGCCCGCCCGTCTGAGGCCCAGGGCGTGCCGGCGACACGGGCAGGGCCCGATACCAGCAACGGCTCCGCGCAGTGTCTCCCGGTCATTCGCTTACGTTCTAGCGTCCTGATTTTTCACGCCGTGTGCCTAAGTAACTTTAAGTTAGCTACCTTAAAAAAAAAAAACTCAGCCTCAACGTAATCCTCATCAGTGAAACCGAAGTTCAGATGGGCTAGTATTTACACAGCACAAAATAAACGGTAACCTGGAGACAGAAAATGCTAGTCGCATCCATCAACAGTTCCAAAGCCACCCTCGGAAGCATCCCTGGGAGCAGAAGCCAGGAATCTATCTGACAGAGGAACATGCACCTGTGCGTCCCAAGGCTGGCAGAAATCTCTCTTTCCTGCGTACAGTAACCTCGCTCACACACACTCTCCACAGCCAGCGACGGGCACGGGCGGCAGTAACAAGGTAAGGAAACTTCTATGTGAGTCCAGGCCGCGTTTGCTTATGACCTGCGCCAGGAGGAGCGGCCTAGGGGCGGCGGAGGGCGCCCTCTGCTGGCGGAACATGGGCAGGTCTCCCCCGCGGCCCACAGTGCTCCCCAGGGAACGCCGAGGAGCTGCGCAGCGGAGAGCTCCAAAGGCCATGTCCTCAAAGCTAACGGGTAGAATCATGGCAGGAGCCGTCCGCTAGAGAGGGCAGGCGCTGGGGCCGATCTGCAAAGCCCTGCTAACCACGCGCTTACCTGGTAGGTGTTATAGTAACAGATGATACTTTTATTTTTCGAGAGGCCGAGTTTGCTCCCCTGGTCCGTGGCGAGGGCGAAGGTGGACAAGAAACTGGGTCTCAGAGCGTGCTCCGGGGCGTTGTCATTGGCCACTGGGAACAGAAACGATTTCAATAAAAAGAAATGGCGGGGGGTGGGGGGCGGGGGGGGGCTCACAGCACCTGAAAACGTGGGTCTGTGGCGATGCGTCACGACATTACACGCCGCTCCACGAGCCGGGAAGGCACGCGGACTGCACCGTGTAAGGGTGTGCACTCCTCAGAGCCACGGAGATGTGTAACAGTGTGTGACATCACGTGTAACACAACTATTCGCTATTTGATAGGCAGAGCGTTCTGGTGAAGTGGGCGGAAGAGGCTGCAGGAGTCTTTGCTTTCACAAGCAGCGCGGCACGGCTCGCAGTCCGGCCCTGTCGGCTGCCCGCGGGAAGCTGCCGGCGCTCCAAGGCGTGAACGCGGGTCCTGCTCCACGCAGGGCAAAGCTGAAGGCTTTACCAGTGAGGCCCCAGAGAAGGGGAGCGGGGAGCGCCCCGGGAGGGTCCTGTTCCAAGCCCCCGCACAGAACTGAGCGTGAGGGAAGGTGAGGGGGCCCGAGGGGCCAGGCTTTGCGGCGGGAAGGAGAGCGCTGGAGCCAGCCCTGAGTCCACGGCCCGACGGCAGCGACGACGATTCTGGCGCCGGCTGCGACCACAGCTCCAGCCGCCACGGCTGCGTCCAGCGCGGCCCCGGCCGGCCTTGCTCAGGGGCCGGCAGACGGAATGAGCTCATCTCCAAACATGCCTGCGGCCCCACCGCCTGAGCGCGTCTGAGGAAGGTGGCGAGGCCAGGCGGGAGACACGCCATCAGCGAGGCGCGCGGGGCCCCGCTCCATGGGTCTCTGGCAAAGCTCCTGCAGTGGCCGGCGCCACAGACATTCCAGAAGAGGAAGTAGTGAAGTACCCACTCTGGAGTAGCTCATACATACTTAAAAAAATTAAAATCGAAAATCCACACTCTGAAAATGAGTCCGATGCTTCTTCGGCAGACTCTGGTTAACTGCAGCATCGTAAAGTTGAAAAAGATCTTCTTTCCAGTATGAAAGCTGAAGCAAAACCATCAACACGTGACGGGCTACACGGAGCGCGCCGCCACGGAACCGGGGCGGGGCTCCCGGGAACGGCGGCTCCGGAGGACAAGCTGAGCGCGGGCCAACAGGGAGGCGCCACGGCGCACGTCTGGTGGCGTCAGCAAAGCCCAGGGACAAACCCAAGGCAGCTACCCCGACAGCGCGGGCTCCCGGGGGCCCCCGGCTGGACGCATGCCCTTCCTTGCAGGCTCGGCCTGCGCGTGCGCGCGCTTCCTCCAGCGGGGGCCACTGAGGCGAGCCCGTCGCGCACCTGCGGACGCGGGAGAAGAGCCACAGGGACGCGGGAGACTGTGCCAGCCCGGCAGGCGGCGGCCACCGTCTGGAGTCATTACAACGCAACAGGGGACGCGCCGTACATGCATGTTTATCCTAACACCATCATTAAAATTGAAAAACAAAAACAAAAACAAAGAACATGCACGGGGCCGCCTGCACGATGATGTACGCAGCCGCGCGTCAGCTGCTCTCGGCTCGGAGGCTGCGAGCGGCTGGCATGACACACTAAGCTGCCTTGAGCGGGGACCGGGCTTGTGACAAAGGAAGCTTCATCCGTGGCTGTGCCCTGCGTCTTCAGCACAGGTTCCGGCCGACCTTCACATACAGAGGCCAACATGCCCCCTCTACGAGCACCAGCGGACTGCACTGCCGTGCGCTGACAGACCCGCCTTCGGGGCAGCCCGGACGCACAGGCCCCCCTGCGGCACGGCACGCGGGACAGGCGCGTGCAAGGCCTTACCTTTGACCACGGGCACCCCGTCTCGGTCGGACACCACGACAGCATGCAGGCCCTCCACGCTAGGGGGGAAAAGCAGCGGTTACTACAGCACCAAACATTCCGTGTTCTCACAACAGGCACCTCAACGTCACGACGCTAATTTCACGTACACTCCCAAAACACAGAGGCCACGCACCTCTGGGTACCGGGAGCGCCTCGCTACGAGGCTGCGGAAATTCTTCCAGAGAGTGAACGTCAGGATACGGCTGACTCGGTCATAAATTTCACACACTGAAGTGGTTTCGGGATGGTCTGAAACACACTTGCTTCCCATGGAAACTGCTGACCCCCCTCCATGTTCTGCGACAGTATGACAAACACCGCAGCGAGCCAGCGAGCCAGCCAGAGACGCGTGCTCTCCTCGGCCTCGTGTGCGCAGACATCCAGGGCCCATCTGTGCGGCGCTCAGGATTTCGGGCGCGAGGAGCAGCAGAAAGCCCTCCCTTCACCGAACCCCGGGGGGCCGTCAAACCAGGCATCCGCTACAAACACAAAAGCCTCACCAGGGGCGAGCGCCCCAGGACATCGAGGCAGGGAGGCCGGCCTACCCAGGCCCAGAAGGCTTCCCAGAGGCGGCGGTGGCTTAGAGGACAAGTTACTGTGCTGATGAGGGCGGAAGAGAGGACTCTAGGTCCAAGCAGCAGACCAGAGAAAATGAGGGCTGTCCAGCCGCGTGTCCAGAAGCCCAAGGAAGCCCAGGGGTCACCACCCCAGCTCCAGGCTAGAAAGACCCGGGCGGGCCCAAGCCCCTACCGCCCGCGGTCCGCGAGTGCTGCCCGCGCCACGCCGGCGAGAGCTGAGGGGCGAGGACTTGCCTGGCAGTATGACGGGTAACAAGACACGCGTGGAGGCTGGCGCGCGGGCGGTATTCTAAGTAATTATTAACGAACACCGCGCATCATCTGGACACGGACCACGAGATAATCGATCCCTGCAGGGTAAGGACTACGGCAAGGGTGAGGCTCTTTACCAACAGGAGCTGAAAATCATAGCCCTAACCCATGGCTCGGGAGAACAGTCCCCGCTTTCAACATTTACGCCACACCGAAGCCCTGAGCGGAGCACAGGCCTCGAGCCTGTGGACGGCAACTCCGCCGCCTCCGAGTCCCGCCGGGAGCCCATCCCGCCCACGCCTCACGGCGCCAGGCCTGCTGTGTGACCTCAGGAACGGGGGCTATTCACACTAACACGGTGAAACCCAATACTTGAAAATCCCATTGTCTAAAACTTTAACCAGATATTGTTAGTACATTCTGAGGAAACACTACAAACAAAAGCATTTCTCTGTTCACATAAAAATAACAACGGACAGCTGTACATTAATATTTCCTGGTATCACCTGCTAATTCATTCACTCCTGAAATCACGTACGGATCAAAACACCCACCGTAGGACAAATCTAAGCTAAACGCAGGCCGCAGACAGCCGCACGCACGACCACCGGCGCAGGCAAGAGTGATGTCTTCTGAGACGGGGAAAGACGGGGCCGAGGAGTCCCCCAAAGACCAGTCAGCTACGTCAGGACAGCCAGCCACGGGACCCTCCCCTGCCTAAGGTGCGGCCACTCCGCGAGCGCTGGGCCACCGAGAGGCCGGCCACAGCCGCAGGAAGCGGGAACCACACCAGAGCACCCACGTGTTCTGAGGAGAGCAACTCAGTGAATGTGCACGCTGTGCGCGCATGCTGCCATCACTGCACGTCTGAGCCACCCCCACATCTGCTGAAACTCCACTCAGAGATGACAGGCCTGGGAGATGTGACAGGTGGGCCCCTGAGGAAGGCGTCCTCACGCCCGGATTCCATCAGAGGCCGGAGAGGGAGTCAGCGGCGGCGACCCAGACAGCGGTTCTCGCCAGCACCAGAGCCTGCTGGCAGCCGGGTCGCGCGGCCCCGCCTCCAGGACTGCGAGCAATGCATTTTGATGGTTTATAAGACCCCACTCTGCACAGCTGCGGTCTCAGCGGATCCACCATGTGTTTCTGTCTCCGGACGCGCGTACATACACGTCTGGAGCATGACACGTCTCCTTCCGGAAGGGACGGCAGTGGCAAGAGCACAGGGACGGGGAGCTTCTCACCTGACACTGCCTCCTCAAAAAATGAGCCAATTTTTAAAAAGGGAGAACACTGCAACAAAGTTTCCAAGTAGCTGTTACTACGGTAGCTTCTTTTTTCTTACTTTTATGGTAATGAATTTAAACGCCGATAAGTGCACCCACACAGAGGGGATTAGGACAGACTTTCTTCCTAATGGACACGAAATTCAGAGCTCAATGTTGCAGAGCAGAAGATGACTCCCACACTTACAGTACCTGCGTGTGTGAAAACATGCAGGGCACAAGCATAAAAGGTGTTTCCAATTCCACACAACGAGCAAAGACCCACACAGATTTAACCAAGAACTGACCAGCACTATGACACTGACAGTCACACCACACTTTTGAAAGAATCCATCAACATCTATGACATAATCTTCAGAAATGTAGACTTTAAACTGCCTAAAAAAAGTACTTTTATTCCACAAAAGCGAATGTTCTATCAGTACTCAGAGTCATCACACTTAGTTTTATTCCCAGGATGATGAAATCTTTGGTTATTCTGAAGCACAGAAGTCCCGACCATGCCAGCCTGACACTGCTCTGGGTCACCACCAGATGTCAACACACAGACCCGAGAGTCGCATGTGACAGAATGAAACAACACACACAACCACACCGCACGCGTGCTCGACCTGTCCGGCTGGGCCGAGGCACAGCGGTACATCTAAAAAAGCAGCCAGGCGCCGGCGGCCAGACCCCTGCACTGTGCACGCACTGGCCGCACGCCCAATGTCCGTTCTCTGCCACTTCTCCCTGACAGTGCTCAGGAATTTCTCGTCCTTCTCTTAGCTCTGGGGATGGAATACACCGATTTGCTCCCCATGAAACGGTCATGAAAATGAGCACACTGGCCTCGGTCACTGAGAAAGCCACAGGGCCCTTCTGTTCCCCCCCATCATGTAAAGAACAAGGCCCCGACCACAAATGTCACCGGTGCTTCTGTTTCTGTATCTGTCACCATGTGACGTGAAATCACTGGTAACAATGACGTCATATTTTAAATAGTGTTTTCTTCTGAAATACGGAAGAAAAAATAGAAAACCCAGAGCGAGAGGTAGTCTTAATTCCTAGTGGCTTGTAACCAAGGTCAAGGCACAAGCCAACGAGCAAAACACAATAAAGAATTCAGGCAAAAAACAAACTCTTTCCTCATACTTATGAAAGTAAACACACATCTAAAGTCATTTTTAACTTCAAATAGACTTTGGAGGCTATCGTGTCCAGTAAATGACAGACCAAAAGGTGTTACTTACAGAATTTCAAATCAGCGAAAGTGACCAAGTCCAGCGAATCACTTAAATATGGAAAGTGAAGTCTGCTGTCCTCAACACGACGCCGTGTCATAAAAAAGGCACATCAAATGGGGCGGTGTGCGCAAAAGAAAGCTCTGCCAGTTTCTGAGTACAAACTGAGTACAAACTGGCATTTCCAGGTCATGTGACTTTTGAAAGCAGTATTAAAGATAAAAGGAAGCGCTCAATTTTCACCCTTAAAATGGCTCTACTTCAAACTATAATCCAGTAAACTTCTTTGACAGTGTATCAGAGAGAATTCTAGAGGCAAGAAACCTGAGCTCTAGCCCCCTGGCCACACCAGCAGCTCCAGCTTAGCCAGGTCACAGGCTTTCTCTAGGCCTCAGGATGTGCAAACGCACAGCCTTGTGCTGGAGTTATGTTAGGGGAGAACACAACTCCCCTTCAGTCAGGGTAAGAGCATAGCACACACAGTATCACTCTAAAATAGAAACAAGGGCCTCCCTGGTGGCGCAAGTGTTAAGATGCAACCTATGAAGCAATCCACTGCAGCACGAGTTTGATTCCCGGCCAGCCAGGGAGATTCCCACATGGCACAACAGACCTCTCCTGACTCGCCCGCTGCTGCCCTCAGCAGTGGATTTTGGTCAGTCTGCCTGTTCTGTTCCCTGCTCTGTCTCTGGTGAATCCTCTCACCCCCTCACATCTCTGGCCTGTACCCCAGCTCTTGTATGCATAAATAAATCTTAAAAAAAAAATAGAAACAAAATATTACATGAAATTAAAGTTTACAGAATTTAACAACAGATTAGTAATTTTTTTACCTTGGTAACTTTTTATACAGAAACCGCTTTAGATCCTGAAAGAGAATTAAAAAAAAAAAATCACATTACAGTAATATGCCTCACATTGGTTGTCTAGATGCTGTCCTAGTCACGTTTTAGAACCTTCTTATGGTTTCTTTTTCTGATCTTGGTATTTAGTAGTTGCGTCTAGAAGCAAGTTAACTGACGTTTTTCTCTAAGCCTCAGTTTCACCATTCATTGAATGGGGATAACCACAGAAAGTGTGTCCTGCTAATATTGAGAAGGTGTGTGTAAAGGAGTTTGCACAACCAGAAATGGGAAACACAAAACATACTGGCTGCCAAATTAGAACAGACTTCTCTTATTAATCCCATTGCTATTATGTTCACCTTCGAGAATATTACGGGCCTCTTTTATATCCTCCATCTCCAGATATTTTCCAACATAAATGAGCCTGGGTAAGCGGATTAATTGTTCTGAAACTCAGTTTCCTCACATGACTCGAGATAAATGACAATGTGTGTCAAGCGTCTAGCACAGAACAAAAATAAGACTAAAAAAATCAAGACAGGTATTCTCTTTATACTCTATGGAATCTCACTGACAACCCAGGTATTAATTATAAGCTCTGCACAGAAAAGCTGTTTTAAATCTCCAGTCCTATTTTCGCAACCTGAAACTACCATCTTATTTCATGTTATCTCTAGCTTACTTCTGCTTAACATCTTAAACAGGTGCAAAATGCAACTCATTTGTGTTTTCTCTGACTCCCAATTTCTCCATTCTCTTGTTGCCAGTACCCGCACCACCAACCCTGATATCTAGGTTTGAAAACAGAGTAATTTTTAGGCTTAACCTCACATTTGTCACTTTTAATTCCTTGTTAAGTCAAATGTTTCAAAGTGATCCCTTCCCAGATCTTCTTCTCAACTGCCATGTGGTTCAGCTCACTTTATTAATGACTCGCACTGTCTCCCACTCCACGTGCTGGTCTCTCTTTTTTATTCCATGTTTCCGCGCATGACAATAATCAAATTATTCTCCTTCTCTAAAGTCATAATTGCACTGACACTCAAGTTTGCTTACAGAAACCACTCTGAAGCTTTAAAAAAAATTTTGATGCAGGGGTTGGAGATGCTCCCCAGATGTTCATCCAAGGTGCTCCCCAGATGTTCAGTTAATGTTCAAATTAACTGCTCCCCACTGTTAATTGGACAACACAATCTGTAGCTATTTGAGGCGTTCTACAATATGCTGTGCAACTAATTCTACATGTTTTTCGTACCCTCCCTCATACATGCCCTCAGTTCTAGCTTCAACTGGGCTTCCTACAGCTTCTCCACATTTGGAGAAGCTACTTGTCCTTTAGAGACAACTCAACCACTCAATACTCCAGGTCAGCTCTTCTGATAGAAAAACCTAATGCAATTGCTCTCTCCCTTGAATTCTCACACAGCAATGTAAGCATACCTATAATCACTTGGCTATTTTTCGTAAACTGTAAGAAGCCCTAGGGAGAGGAATGATGCAGTGACTACCTTCGCAGGGCAAACATTCAATAGATTTTTAGTGATTTGATTATGTCTGGAGAATAATGCCTCAAAAATATAATGCAAGACCCCAAAAAGAGTGGTAAAGGCATCGAAAAGCGGCTAAATGTTGAAACACATACTTCAACAATCTAAGAAGGAAAAATCAGATTCATATTATGTGATGAACACTTTAGTGCAGTGGTGAAGAGTGGGGGTCCTGAAGTCATATGCCTGGTTGGTATCTCAACTCCCCAACTTACTATTCCTCATATATAACATAGGAGTAACAGTACTGACCTGGTAAAAATTGTTGCAAAAATTAAATGAGTACGTACGTTCTGTCCAAAAGTTAAGGCACTATTATGAGGAAACAAGTTTATCTGGGATCTAAGAATTGCAATTTCAGGAAAAAAGAGTCAGTGGAAACCTGAATGATCTTCCCTAAATGACTCTGCCAGCTACCCTGTCTACAGGTTTAACAGGCAGTCCCCAGTCATAATCTGAGCAGTTGGGGAAGGTGGGGGGGTCATTCAAGCAAGAGGTGAGAATGTTTAGTCTCTCTCAACCTTCGGATCTCTGCGGCTGAGTATGAGGTGCTCCAGATGGGGTGTGTATCAGCGCCCACTAGAATGCATGGAGTGGACACATGTAAGCTGCACTTGCTCTATGGCCTCTCTGCTCCATTTAGATTCATTTTGTCTCCTGTTTCTACTTGAACGGTTAGACGAATACCTGGCGTGCCTCTGGGAAACAACAGGGTATGAACAGTGAACATTAGTGTCAATATCCTGCTGCTTCTAAACTGGTACCGTTACCTTGATTTTAGAGATTTTAGCTTTCGCTGCGGCGCTTCAAAAGGTACCACGTAGTTAGGAATCATCTCAAATTCCTACAACGCGGCCAGAGACGCCAAGACCACTCGCGGGGAAGCCCCGCGCGGCCACGAGCCGCCGTCCGGACACGCAAACGGCGGCGTCTCAGGGCCCCTCGCGCCCGCACGACGGGCGCCCCGTGTCCGGCTGCCCACTCGGGACAGACCCGGGGCACGGCCAGATCACCGCGCCGGCCTCCCGCTCCGACCCTGGAGAAGCCAGGCGGGCGGGGCCCGACGCGAAGCCGCTCGTCCCGAGCGCCGCCGCCCCCCGCTCCGCGTCTCGCGCGGGCCGACTCACATCTGCCATGGTGCCGGCGTCCGCAGGCCCGCGAGCTGCGCCTGCAAGAGAGGACCGCGCTGACCCTCCCGCCGCGCCCGCCCCGGGACGCTCGAGCCGCGCCCCAGCGGCCGCCCCGCCCACGGCCCACGGCCCGCCCCCGGGCCCGCGACCCCGCGACCGGGCGCCTGGCGCCCGCGGTACCTTCCAGCCGTCACTGCTGGCGCGCGGAAGCCCCGTCACATGACTCTGCAGCGCCGCGCCCGGCGCACTTCCGGCGCCTCGCTCCCCGGCGAAGGCGGGACTTCCGGGAGGGGCGCTGGGCGGAGCGCGAGGCCACGCCCCACCCCGGGCACCGCCCCCTGACTCTCAACGCCCGCCTCCCGCTGCTGCTTTCTGCGCCTGCGCAGGCGGTAGGCTCTGCACGTCATTTTGGGTGGACGCGCGACGCTCGCCCGGGACGCAATACCGCGACAGCATCGCGGGATTTCGGCGACGGGCGCGCGCGGCCGTGGTCTCTGCGTCGCCAGCCTCGAGGGCGGGAGGTCGGGCGCGGGGCTGTCAGGGCCGGGCGGCGGGCGGCGGGTCCAGCTCGCCCCGCCCAGGGCCCCGCGACAGGCCGGCGTCCCGGAGGCCTGGCCCGCCCAGGGACCAGGCCCGTTCGCGGGGCGCCGGGGCGTCTCGTGCCCGCCAGGGTGTGGGGCGCGGGCTCGCGCTGGCCCGGGCGTGAGGGGACCCACAACCCGCGTGTCCCGGGAACCCGCGTGCACCGAGGGGTGCCCCCTGAGCCCCAACCCCGGCGTCCCGGCCTTCTCCCTGCCCGCCCGCAGCCAGCGCCCCCGCCGGTCTCGGCGGCGACTGCCCCGCAGGGCCCGTCCGCTCGCCCTTCCCGCCCTGTCCCAGCCCCGGGCCCGGCTCTGCTCGGTGCAGCCCGGCCGCGCCTCGACGTCCTGGTATTGCGAGCGTCTCCTGGGCTTCTGCGTCTCTCACGGTGTCCTGAGACTGCGAGTCCTGAATTGCACCTTTTATCTGAATTCTAGGGTCGCATTTACAGCTGCTTGTTGGCTGTTGGATATTTTTATGCACGCGTCTTACTGTCAGCTCTAACCCAGAAGCTCCAACAGCTCGGATAACCCGTCTCCTGCTGTATCAGGTCTGTGGTTCCACCCACACCTTTCACCTCGTCATCCAGTTGTTCTTGTATTAAAAGCAGCAAACTAGTAAGCAAGTCACATCAGCAACTTTCTGCTTTTAGCTTACATTTCTCATAGCTTTTGTACATGGCGGAGAAGGCGCCATTCTTTTTAAATTCCTTTTCTATCAAAATATCAACAAGCGTCTGGGTTTCAGCTGGCTTTACTGTGTATGAAAATTCCAGTTGGAATTCAAACTCACAGGAGTCTTGCTGATTCTCCAGCATACAAAATCTACAGTTTTACCACTTAGACTAGTCAAATTGCAAACGTTTTGCTAATTTTGATTCTGACTTTCGTTTGGAATACAGTTATGCAAGGTCATGCAATAACGTTCTCTTCTATCCACCATTGTGATGAAAATACACACAGCCGGACAGGTTGTAAACTGTCACCAACCTGGAACCTGTTAAAGTCCTTCTTTTCCACTAGTCAGCTGACTCTGTGAAAACAGTTTTTTCAACTTCTCTTGGTTATTTCTAAGTCTTTGCTTAGCATTCTTGGCCCCACTTTACATATACAAACTGCCTATTTCATCAGGAAGATGCAATCCATAGCACCATGCTACCAGTAGCACAAATTACCTGCATTTGTATACATGCTCCACACATTCCTTCCTGGAAATTCTCAGAAAAACGTCTCCATGTTTGCAATAATTAATGTATCCTCTGGCTGTATCAGGCACTTAATGTTATTACCTCTCTTTTTCTCTGTTTTTGCTCACATTTTCTTCTTGCTCCTTTCCATCAGAATAAAAGAAGTAGCAAGGTCTCTCATGTAATAATTGAGAAAATAAAAACCTCCTTTAGAAACCATACCCTTTTCCAGTGGCCACTCTTTGCGCTTTTTAACAGTCAAATTTTGGGAAAGATTTTACTTGCTACTTCTTTATATTCCAAATTCCATTCAACAAAGAATTCTCTTGATCAGACCTTCTGGGTGTCTTTCAAAATCATTCATGAATCTCTAGGTCTACTCTGGCCTAAGTTGTGAATATCTCCTTTGACAATAACTCCCCTTACTTCCTTTCTAGTATCTAAGATGATATTTCCATAAATCTCATCACGTAACTCTCAAAAATCTCAAAGGTTTCTGTTAAAGTCCATTATCATCAAGTGTTATGTATCCTGTGATGGGATCTTGCTGTATGTTTAGTTCTTTGACTTACCCCGTCTTTATGCTGTAATCATACAGGTTTGTTTTCACGCACGTGAAGTTCTACGACTTGATCCATTTAGCACTGCACCTGAAATATTTCCCGAGCTTTCACTTTACTCCTCCTCGTCCCACACCTTTGGAGTCAGCTTAAACCCACCTTTTGATAAGCTCTCCCTCATTCTCCATCTTTCGATGTGTGCTATCCTGAATAATCTCCTAAGATCATACGACCATGTAACTTCTTTGCAGCATTCATCTTAATTATCCTTATTGACGTGACATTGACCTCCTTGACACATGAAAGCTTCATGAGGACTGTTGTCTTGTTCACATTCACACATTTCTTGAATGGCTGGATTAATGAAAGGGACTATCAAGAATATAAAACATGATAAAAACAGATTCTTTATAGTGAGAACAGACCTTTTTATTCATATATTGAGATAAACTGCAGAGAACGAAAGACAAAAATTCATCATAAGTCATTCAGCAGAAGACTCACTAAAAATCAAATGCATTTTAAGAGTTCTCACAGAAAATTTTATTATGTGTGTCTGATACAGCATTTTACAAATCAGACGTTTTTAAACCTAATCGTATAATCTTGAATACACTATAGACCGATAAAATAAGACCTCCCTTACCAAATTTGTTTCATTTAATTTACGCAAGGCTTCCACTAAAATACCATCACACCTTGAGAATTACCTGCAGCTCTTATAAACACACGATTTAAACTTTAAATGGAAAGTCTATGTCGCAAACCAAAACCAAAACAGGTAAGAAGCATTTCTTAATATAAATAAATGACAAAGGAACATTGATGTGTGAGTTTCTCCTCATTGGTAGAGCCATGCAACTCAAAAACAATTCATTTTGAAGTTGATGCTCAAAATACTCCCATGTCATTGCAGCATATCATTTTGGTGGTGGTATTAAATGGCCAAGAAGAGTGTCAGAGGGGAACTTCCCGGCCCCTGGTCCAAAGAAACGCGACGTGTCACATTCATACTCATGGCATCTGCTAAGCAGCTACTCAGCTTGCCAGCCAGTGACTGCGATTGCTAATGATAACTTACAAAACTAAGACTTTTCAAGAAACCCCTACATATTTCCAAGTTATATATAGAAAGATACAATTACATTTGAATCGTGGGCCTTACAATAGAAGTCTGTTTTAAAATATGAAACAAATCAACAAAGAGTACACCCAGGAAATTTCATGGGCTGATTTTCAAAGTTGGAAATAATATTCACTGCTAACGGAAGCCCTGCTCTGTGCAAACAGTGTGGTATATATTAAACAATCACTTTTGAGGTATTAGCTGGAAAAATGTACATATATACACCTATACACGGACAGACACATCCACAGAATATTCACAACTCGATTGGCCCCCAAACCAGCAGGTAATTAAATGAAAAGGGGTCACATACCAACGGGAAAAATTTACATACAGGGAATTTACAAAAAATGTGATCACATAACCCTTAATATAAGGAGTATGCATCGAGTGAATGTTTTGAGGCAAAATGTTTCTTTATATGAAAGTATCTATTTAGCGGTAATGAAGCCAGAAAACAACATCTCAATTCTAGGACTGACTTGTCTGCCACATAATTGACGGGATGTGCGAGGATTCCTTGAAGATCCTCATTCTTCCCACTCTTCCTTGGTAAAGAGAGAAGTTAAAAAATTGGGGGTTTAATATGAGGCTACTCTTCTTTTTTCACTGGTTTATAGTGAATTTTATGGGGGTAGAGGTCTACGGTGGCCAGCAGACACAGTTTTCAGCTCCGTCACAAAGGTTAAACTTCACGTAAGCCACGAGTGTCCTTTCAGTTGGTTTGGCCCAGAGAGAGGAACACACATTCTACTGACCGAGCTGTGAGTGGGGCAGCTAAATAACTACACGCACTCTCTTCGCCTGCTTGGTCCTTTGACATAATACTTGTCCAGTGAGGAAGGACGGTCCTCGGGCCTGCGGCAGGAGGTATCAGCCTGCTCCGGGGAGGCCGGCCTTTCTGTAACTGTGCAGGGGATACGCTAGTAGTACCAGCTACGCTCGTTCAACGACAGCTGCCTTTGAGAATACTACAGAGCAACGAAAGGGAAATCCATAGGAAAACCATTTCTCTCAGTGACTATTTTACATACTAGAGTAACTGGAGATGTAATAGGAATAAAACTGAGGCGGAAAAGTAGACTTAGAGTAAGGCGCTGACCCTGGCAACACCTGAGGTGACTTAGTGCATCGGCATCCATGTGCCTTCGGGACTTGCTTTTCTCAACCAAACCCATGTAAATCATCAACAAACAAGCAATAATTACGCAACAAATCTTGACTTAAGCATTCCAATGTAATCTGTCCCCAAAGTAAATTGTTTTCACTTATTGGATGAAACAGAACTGGCAATTTTTCACTGTGGAGAATTAAATTCTCGTATTTGACCAAAATAAATTATGAGACTTACAAATGGCTAGCACCAGTCAATTTGAAAACTAAAGGGATCAAAAAAGCAGGAGGAAAGACACCATTTACCATCCTGTACAACCTCAAAGGGACAACGGTTTTGGAAAAAATACACATGTAAAGCATTACTAAATAATCACTGCCAGACATCTAGAACACCACTGAGAACAGCTAGGAAAGCCATACAAAGAGGAGGGCTGTAGGCACGATGAAAATGTAAAGTACAAGCTATGGATTGAAATTGCCAAACTCTATAGTTACAATAGGATGGTGGATGTTGGAATTTTTATTCTAAGAGCAGCAAATATGGAAATCTTACATCTCAAGTTCGTCTTCTCTGTGGAATGAATCCAGATTTCTGAGACACCTGGTTGTGCCTTCACTGCCTGATACAGGGGACATCAGAAGTTAATCTCTACTCGCGGACTTACTATGTGGCTTACGTTACAGGCACTCGGTCAGTCATGCCCCACAGCTGCTTAAAATTTTATTCTATCAAACATACTTCCCTGAACATTTTTTGAAACGTAATGGAATGCAGCAAAGCAGCTGGAATATAATACTGTCAAAGCAAGTAAGACATCAGAATGTTTAACCTCACTTCGATTGCTGACGTCATCTGGCGCCTTGAAGTCAGAGTGAGGGCTAGGAGTCGGTCAGCAAGCGCTCAGTTCTCGTAGGCACCAGCCGCAAAAGTGCACGTTTCCAGAGGAAACTGGAAAAATAAGTGGATGAAAAATTGCATGTACATTTTCTTAAGTTTTCACGTCTGTGAACTTTTAAATTTAGAAGGCTATGAGCTTATTTTTTTTAAAAACTCTATACAGGCTTGAGAAAATACTTGAAATTGTATCTTAAGGACTGCTATTTTTTATGATCACATTTTTAAGAGGAAGTGGGTTAAGACTTCCGGTTGTCCTAGAACAGTATGTTGTGTGGTAGGGCCTACTGATTCAGTCAGCATTTCTATTGATTCACCTGGAACAGGGGATACAAGAACATTTAAAAAGGGAAGGGTTACTGCAGCACTTTATGCAACAGATGCTATAATTTAACCATACTAAGGGAAAACCATTGAAAGAATAGAGCCGCTCGAACTATACTTCTGTCTCATACAAAACAAAACAAAACAAAACAAAACAAAAACCCCCAAAGATGTGTTCATGTTCCTCTGAGTATGAAGTAAATTGTTAAAATATTACAACTCTTGAGACAGAAGACTTAGAAATCAAACAGGTTCATACCCATTACACAGTCACTAACAACTTCAACTTCCAGATGAATTTTCTAATGTCTGTTATGGATTTTATTATGAGGACCTTATTCCTAGAGGAGTGAGTGACTTACTCAATGGGAAGTGGACTTTAGTGCAGGGTTCTGTAAGGATCACTTGCTAGAAATCACTACTCTACCTGCCGCAGCTGTGGGTGGCGTTCAGCAGAGGCTCCTGTCCAGTAAGGTTGCTGCCGTCGGCTCGTATGTTAGCAGGTTGGCAATCAGGTTAAAAGGCACAAAGCTTCATTTTAAGAGTAATTTTTCTTATTCTCTGGAGAGGAACCCATTCTGTTTTGGAATCTGCTTAAATGACCCCCTATGAAGAAAATGCAAATTTCATAGGGAGAAAACTGGCGGGCTCCCTTCTTCATAGACTGTAGCAGCCTTCAAAGACATACATAGATGATCATTTGGGGGCCTTGTAATTATCGGAATTGCAAATGATACCACTGCAATGTACTGTTGAAGGCCCTGTTTGTCTCATAATTAGATAACCTTCTTCCGATTTTCTTTAAAATCTATCAGTATAGCATTTCCTCTCTATGCATGGCTTAGCATTTCATAAAACTAAATAAATAGTAAACTGATCGTATACACCAGTTCATTTATCTCAATATATATTTTGGAATATAATGGCAATATTAAAAATATCAATTCCCTCTAAGCTGATAATGCTACAAGATTTTATACAAAGACAGCTTTTGTTTTTTCTTTTGAAAAAGTTGCATTGTTTAAACTCTACACATTCAATATCTGACAAGGGAGACGCCATTTTGTCCTAGAACATTTATTCCATCCGTTGAAACTGAGGTGTCACATGGAGCTAGACGCTAAAAGAATCGAAATAAAAAGACAATAACCTATATGTACACAAAACGACCATTCCATCGATATTTACATGACAAGGGAAAGATGGAGGATCACTACGACCGAACTGCTACAGGTGTGATAATCCTTTCTGGACACATTTGCAGATAGGAATCAGGTAAGTTTTTCAAGTGAAAAAAGGAACCGCAGAAGCATAATTAAAGTATTAATTTTAGTTTTCAGTTTCTTACTATTTAAAGGAGCCAGGTCATTAAATAATCCAAGATTTCAGGGACCGACGATTCAGTTGAGTTTTGAGCATCAAATCTTTTTCTTTCACTCTCATGATGAAACTACGCTTACAGAAAAAATGCAGATGATGCTAAAAGTCACCAGGAAAAGCCCAGGTCAACCTCCTTTGTAAATGCTGGTCAGCCGCTCCAGCTCCTTGCAGTTGTCCATGCTCATGGCGTCGGCCTTCCTCCGCAGGCGGTCGTCGCGGTAGACTTTCGCCGCGTACAGCATATCTGTTTCTGTGAACACACAGAAATATTTTGCTAGGTAAGGAGTAATTTGCATCACCTAGCTGTTCAAATGGTACTTTATAAAAGCTCTTCAATACAATTCTAGTTGATTTTCTTTTAAAGGAAGAAATCCAGGGCCTCCCTGGGGGCATGGGGGTTAGGTCTCAGTACTACGAAGCTTCCGCAGCCTCTGCAGCACTAGTTTGACCCCCAGCCAATCAGGGAGCTACCCACATGGCGCAGCGGCCCTCTCCTGTCTCCATGCTGCTCCCCTCAGCAGTGTGCTTCAGTAGATCCGCCAGTTCTGCTCCCCACTCTGTCTCTGGTGAGTCCTCTCACCCACCCGACGTCTGGCTTACACCCCAGTGCTTGTATGCATAAATAAATAAATTAAAAAAAAAAATTCAAGTAAGGAAGCTGAGGTTGGAAAAGGCTGAGAAATGGATTACGTATTCCAGGGACTTCTCTATGCATGAGGCAAAGAAAAGTGAAACGTGCACAGAAGGTCACCGCACCTTAAATGCTCAATGTTTCCAGTAAAATAATGAAGTTTCAAACTTAACTCTGAGCCAGGTTGCCTATTACAATGCATGCTGTAGTTTAGTATCAGGGTTCTAGTCACTCTTGAAGGCATATAAAATAATGACGCATGTTACAATGGGCAACATCTTGAATACCATGGCATTTGGTATCACTCAGTTATCAACCACATATTTATTGACAATAATGACACAGATACCATTGATGAAATTCTTGTGATGTGCCAAATACTGCTTACGGGCCATAGGTACAGTAAAACATACTGTTTTCTTTAAGTACTGAGCTCCAGTATATGCCAGGCAATTCTAGAACATTAGCTGAGTAGGGAGCTCTACAGTAATCAGCTCCAAAGACCGAATGTTCTACGTCTCAAACATCTGGTGAACTTACTCTGTTGTCTTTCTTTCCAGCAGTTATTTCGAATATTAGTGACATAGTCCTCTTCCACACTCTTCTCCACCTTTTGTAATAACATTCCTTTATACTCATTTTTAAAGTCCTTGTTGACATAATAAACGACACCCAAGTTTTCTGTTTGCATTTTAATAGTTTGCCCTGATCCACTGTAAAAGAAATGTTTGATCATTATTTTTTAATTAAAACTGTATAATCTGATCTGTTACTGTAAAGCAAGCTAACAAAAACAATGAACAATGAATTAAGAATTAACACTGGTAATCATTTATATTATCTCAAATTGTCTAAAACTAGTCATGTCATTAAAAAGTAACCAGTTTTTATATACTATTTTCTGATAAAGTTTTCTCAGTTTCTAGTAAAAATCTTATTTGGAAGAAATAAATTATTTCTTACTTTTAAACCAATCTATTTTTAATACTGTAAAATCACCAGTAATACGATTTTATAGGTTCCTTTACATTTATAATATTACATTAAGTTTTTCTAGAATGGATGTTGCTTAAAATTTCCTTTATATGCTGAGCTCTTATAATCTATGGTGGACAGTAAGTGACAAATATTTGCTTTTATCTGATCAATATTTTACAAATGATGAAGTCAGTTCCCCCTTAATGACACAAATATATGTAAGATCAATCACAAATCTATTTCTGTCTTGAAAGTACATTTGCTTTTTAGACTATTTTTTCTCTTTAATGTCAACATACTACCTTTATATCAAATTGTTATCAAGTTCAAACACAGCACTTTATTCACAATGGAAAAGAAACATAAACAACATAACACAAAATTACTGCTGAGTATCTATTCTAAAAAGCAGAGATTTCCAAAGCGGGAATTCTTGTAGGAACAGGAGTCCTGGCACTTTATCAAAAGTGCACAAGGTCCTTTAAAGCAGAGAGATGAGAAACGATTCTTTTTCGTAAAACTTCACTGAGGTACTTACGATCTAGGGTACAAGGAATAAGGAGGGGTAGACACCATCAGCTGGCTTAGCAGAGACACGAGGATCAGCACAATAATGGGCATCAGCTGGATAAACACAGAAAAACCGCCCTGTAAAAAACCATCAGAGAATAGCACATTTTAATAGAAATGCAGTTGCCAATAATCCAACACTGGCCATTCGTTTTCAGAGGCAGAGGGACGTTGAGGCCATGTGGTTCTGGGGTGGTTCTCAAAAACACAACTCCCAGCGCCTCACCCAGGGCCCTGTGCAATCCCGGCCTGCCTCATCTTAACGCCACCTCTCCCCGCCTCTCCCCGGGGAGGGTCGTCCGCACGCAGCCGGGGCAATACCACTTCCGGCGTGGACTAGGGGTGGACACTGGAACTCGCAGCTGCAGAGCTGTGACCCAGGCGTTCTCACTTCTAGTCTAGTGGCCCCTTCACCGTCCTACTTCACGCAATCGAATTCTATTGCAGTTGGGCGTAGCTGCAGGACAGGGAAAGTCATTTCCAATTTGAGTGTTTCAATATCGAGTCTATATTCCTCAGGACCTGCAGTGAGAAGCTACCTCCACAACCTGCACACAGCAGGCGTGTCTGCACTCAGCACAGAGGCCCAGAGCTGAGGGCCGCTCTGCCCCGGCACCCTCCGCTGCATTCCACCCCTGCTCCCCGACACGCAAGGATTTTCTCGAGGAAAAACCGCCGGCACGAGAAGACTCATTACTTCCCTTGGAAACAACTTGCCCTATTTTTCAGACAACTTCTAATTGCTTTTCTTGATCTGAAATTTGCCATTTTGTGATTTCTCATCACATCATAAACATACATCTCCTCTTTCCTCTTCCCGCTCGTGTCCACTGTGCCGGTGCTGATGCTGGTGGCTATACCCGGCGCGTCCGTTTGAAAACGAGTGTACGCTACCTAGACAATGCAAAGAGACACTCCGTTAGGGAGACACGAACACACTTGCTTGCTTTTTTGTTTCTTTATTGCTTTTAATAGCCAACACAATACAAGTTTGAGTAGCGAGCAAAGGGTGGATGGAAACAGGAAGAATTGCTCTTAGACTTGCTCCTTGAAAATAAAGTCAAAGTTTGCTCTTTACGGAAATGAGAACGCGAGTCCCGGCCCGACACGCACACACGGAGGACGCTGTGGTCGGGGGTCTCCCCAAATCTCGGACTATCACTCGGAAGCTCTGCGGCCTCCCCATTCATCAGTGCATCACAAATATCTAGGAATCAGCAGGCAGGACGCGCGCTCATGATTTAAACAATCGCTGTAGAATAGCCCACGGCACAGGGGACATTTATTCAGGGTCTTCTCGCTGCATTCGACAAGCAGAAGTGTTCCGCCAGCAGCCCGAGCCCCGCCAGCACAGCCCGAGAAGCCGAGGCAGCGATGGCTGTACCCGACGGCTTCTGACCGAGCCTAGCGGGTTTCCAGCCCAGGCCGGAGTCCTTTTGCTGGGGGACGTGATTGTGTGTCCTAACGTGGCAAACACAGGTTGTGTTTTTAGCCATTACCTGGTATTTACAGACACTCTTTTCTCCAAGGATATGTCACCAACCGCCGGTCAGAGGTGACGGGGCTAGTCAGAGAAGCGACTGCGCTGCTCTAGCCTGGAGAGTCTAACTCTGACTGGGAGGCTGAGCCTGGAGGAAATGTGCCTAAGTCTACACTCCCGAGCAGCTGAGAGCAGCTCCTGCCAGACATCCCTGCCCATCCAGGCGACTCACAGTGACTGTACGTCGCCAAAAAGCCTGTCCACTGGGCAGGACCTCTGCAACATTCGGCTTTGCCAGCCTACTTCAAGAAATGATTTGTCTGAATGTAACTTTCAGAATCCACTTACTTTATTCAGAACTAGGAAGTGCTGGAGTATTTTAACGACGCATCTCTGCGCATCTCTAAGTCAGCACTGGATCTTAGCAGTGCCAGAGCCCCGGAGATCTACAGGGACTCTACGGGAAACAGTGACTGGGCCTCAGGCGCGTCCTGTCCTGCAACAGTCCTGCTTGACTGAGGCAGCCCTGCGGGCCCCCACGCGCCGTCCAGGCTTCGGCTCTACGCAAACTACATGCGGTCTGTCCTCTGCAATTCCTTTTCTCAACAGAAACATGATCCAAGACAAAGAGCATGACGGCAGAGGCGGCACGGCTAACGTTTGTCCCTTCTCCCTGCCTGGAAAGCCGTCCTAGTTTTCCCGGCAGCAGTTCCCACCTGCAGGAAAGAGACCGGGGAGAAGGCGGGTCCCCCTCGGCCCGGCCAGCCTGGCCGAACTGGCGGGCGGCTCCCGAGGCCGCGGGGTATTTACCGTAACGTGCACACACCTGAAGGGAATCCGCCACCGAAGAATATGTTGAAGAGGTCTTCGGGGGTGATGTCGGCCTCGCAGCCCCGGTGGAAGTTGAAGCGCCCGTTGCTCTGGGGGCCGCACGCCTGCTCCTCGCTGCCCGTCAGGTCGTACTGCTTCCTTTTCTCGGGGTTGCTCAGAACAGCGTAAGCGTTGCCAATCTCTGCAAGAGCGACGGGCACGGGTTGGTATAAAAAGTGTTATGGGAGTAAAGACGGCCCGTTTGAATCCACCGTCACGCTGACAACAAACTGCCTCAGGCCACGTGTCAAATGGAAGCAGCACGGGCCTGGGGGCCGGCGTCCGATGTGGCCACCAGCTGCTCGTGCCGCGGCCCGGCCGCCACTCCCTGATGGCGCCGTCGAGCCTCTCCTGCCCCTGCCCGGTGCCGGCCCTGCCAGCCCTGCCCCACGGCCGCTCGCACACCCAGGACAGGGGGACCCCCTCCCGGGCGCTGAGCCCTACCTCACCCCCCACCGCCCGCGCCGCACGGCCACGCCCCGAAGCCCAGACGGTGCGACGCGGGCACCGCGGCCATGCGCAGGCCGTGAGGCACGGCCGGGCCACACCGGCACCTGCTTTGGGCACACCCCGGCCCGGGGTAGCTGCTCACGCTCGTCCTGAATCATTTACTCCTCGTGCAGCTGGGAGCTGCCTGAGGGAAGGGGCTGGTGTGTTTCCACTGCGGCGTCCCCACAGCCCCGGGACAGTCTGCTGCTGCCCTTCCTTCACTCGGGAGTCTGGTCCTCCTAGCTCACCTTCCACTGCCATGCTGGTACGAAGAATTCCATCTCCCGTCTCGCACGCCTGGGCCCAAAGCGGGTCATGGGGCGCTGGCGGCAAGCGGGCTGGTCGATGACCTGGCTGGGAAAGCTCGGCTCTCAGAGCAGGCCCTCCCCGGGCTCATCCTGGCGTCGCCGGCGGGCGCTGCAGACACGCTTGCTTCTTGACGGCTCCGTAAGGCTCTTGCAACATGGGCTGCTCTAAAAATACATCGGGGATCCCATGTGGTGGCTGCCATAGGTACCGTGCGCACAGATGCTCATTACGAGGCTGTTGCCACGAGGCTGCAGAGGACTCCGGAGCGTTCTCTCCTCGCAGGGCTTCTCAGTCGGGACTCGGCCGCTTCCGGTGCAGCGGGCCCGTGGTGTGGAAAGCCGAGTGGGTGGGCGATGGCCCGCAGCCTCCTGCAGGCTCGCAGTGACGGTCATCCAGAAACGCAGCCGCGACTTGGCGGTGCTCCGGGGGAAGCACACCCGGGACCAGACAGTGTCCTCCCCACACCACCGCCGACCCCAACACCTACACGCGGGCTCGGCTGCCGCTCTCTGCCAAGGAGACACTTGCAGTAAAAATGCCAGTTTTAGGACTGAGCCTCTCCTACGAGGCGGACTACCCGGGGTTTCACGACGCCGTCACTCTCTACACTGCCCGCATGGGGCAATGTCAGCCTCTGACCGAGGCTTGACTGTGAACAACTTCTGAGCAGGGAGCTATTTTATTTGTTATTTGTGAACTACCGTCACAACCCAGCGTCGTACGTGCCAGACAATGTCCTCTCTGTGCTGCGGCTGGAGTAGGTTCTACTCCTCGCTTTGCAAGCGCTCGTGCAGCTACACGGGACCATAATCAAGATTGTTTTGATTTCCTTGTAAGAATTAGCTTCAGATTTTATCTTGGTAAATTTCTTCCTCCATCTCATTTATTTCAGCAAAAGGTATCTTTCGCTTTATTTTTCTTCTATTGTTATTTTATTTTTATTGTTCTATAATTTTAAGTATTCTACTTTTCTTACGAGATGGTATATTGGCTTCTTTGCAACCTTCTAGTCTGGTCTACTTTATGATCCGGGGGGCCACTCCTGCTCTCTGGGGGCACGTCTCATGGCCTCGTTTGCCGTCGTGTCTCCAGCGTGTCTGCGCTGTTACCGAGAAGTGAGTGTCTTGTCGCACACACCAGCTGAGTCACTTTTTAATTCCCTCTGCCGCTGGCTTTCACGTGCAGCTGACGATATCTGCTGCCGCAGGGATGGGCTTCCCGGTCCCCCGTCAGCCTCCACTGATCACCCCCTGGCTGGAAGGAGTGGGGGGCTCATCACTGCTTCACTGAACCCCCATCATGGCTGTCTGTCTCCCGACTCTCCCCAGGCCCTCTCGGGACAGTGCCCGCGGGGAGCAGAGGGGGTGTCTGCACCTGCAGACAGGACGGGCCTTTCTCACCCCCCAAGAGGAGTGAAAGTCCCCGGTCCCTCTTTTCTCCCCTGTTCCCACCCCAGAGGGGGGATGAGGGTGCCCCACTGCAGGCCCAAGAAATTGGGGGCCAGGGTCCCTGTTCATCCTCTGCTGGTGGGGAGAAGAGGGGTGGCTTTTGTTTCAGTGTTTCTGTCTCACCAGGGTCTCCCTGCCCCGGTGTCTGGCTCTAGGGAGACACTTTCTTGGGGTGTCTGTACCCACTGGTGTTTCTGGGCTGTCTGCCTCTGCAGCACCCAGTCTGGGGTATAAAAAGCAAAACCAAACCCCAAGCCACTCACTGCCAGATGCTCTTGGAGCCCCAGATCCTGCGCTGCCCCTTTCTCTCTGCGCTCTCGGGGCCTTCTGGCCTTTGCCTAGTTTTGTATATAATATTCAGGGGCTCCGGTTCCACGTGACGTGAGAACAGGGGAAGGACACCTACTCCATCTTCCCGAGTGGACGACTTCGTGGGTTCTTCTTTCTCTCTGACATCGAAGTCGCACGGCGCTGTGACCCTGTCAGCTTTGCCTGGACCCTCTTCCTGCGCCTCTGTCCAAGACTCAGTCAAAGGCCTGAGTCGGCACCTTTGCTCTTCGAGGCAGTCTTCTGGGTGCAGCCATGGAACTGCCACATCGGATGCAGGTGACAGCATCTGGCCCACCAGAGTTGACCAAGGAAGGCCCGAACAGCTGACCCATGCGCATGTGATTGTGTCCAACAGGCACAGTCGCTGTTCAAGTAACCTCTGAGGGGCTCAGGCGTCTCTGAAGAGGATGCAGATGGTGGGTGGGGGGGTGCTTCCAAGATAACCCACGTCAGAGAGAAAGAAGGGGAACCGTTTCATTCAAATACTGTCAAAAAGTGTTTCCAGGGCCTCCCCGGTGGCGCAGCAGTTGAGCGCTGGGCTGTGGAGCTGCCCGCAGCCTCTGCAGTGCCGGTTCGATCCCCGGCCACCAGCGAGGGTCCCACATGGCGCGCAGACCTCTCCTGCTGCCCGCTGTTCTCCTCGACAGTGTACTTGGGTCCTTCTGCCTGCTCTGCTCCCCGCTCTGGCTCCGGTGAATTTTCTCGCCCTCTTGCACATCTGGCCTGTACCCCGGTTCTTGTAAAAATAAATAAACAATCTTTTAAAAAAAAGTGTTTCCATAGACAGTTAAGTGTCTCCCTTGCGCTGAATAAACCGCCGCTGCTCCGAGAACCACAGCCTGGGGTCAGAACACTCGCGGGCTCCTGGAGGGTCACGCGTCTGTCCTCCTGGGCAGCCTCTTCTATTTTTAAAGCTTTGCAAAACACACGGATGAAAATATCTCTTCTGTCTAATTGAGCTCCCAAAACCAATGACCACCTCTTTTTCTATACTTGGGGAAAATAAAGAGCAAGTGGTTTCCATCTTCTGTGAAAAGTATTTTTGTAATTACAGAGTGATCAGGCTATGCTTAACTTTCATACAAAGGGAGGAAAAAACTATAGCTTTGCTTAGAATAAACAAGTTTTATATTCCAGAACAGAAGTGAAGATGGATCAGTTAGAAATCAAGTGAGATGACCTGGAAGGAATGAAAGGGTCCGTGAGCCAACTGACGAAACCCGTCATTGTGGGGCGATGGGTTTCACTGAACGCCGCGAGCGTCTGTAAGGAACCAACGTTGCTCTCCAAGCATCTGTGGATTAGAAGTTGGCTTCTGCGTAGTTCCCATGCCACACAAGAAGGGCTCGTCCCCAGCTCTGGGTCTGACCCTCTTCGGGAGTCATAAAACCCACATTCCGGGTACCAGTAGCCTCCTCCGTCTTGAGCAACGTGTCTCCTCACGGATGGACTCTGCATGCTGGTGCTGGAGGTATGCTAGGCTCCTGGGTCTGCAGAGCTGCGCGAGCTGAAACACACCACAGGAAGCACAAGCGCTGTGTGGAGGAGCCGTGAGAGTCCAGCCTGGCGACGCCTGGCCACTACCTCTGCACGACGCGCCGCTGGCTGTAAAGGCGCTGCTGTCCTGAGACCCGAGGTGCTCACGAGAGCGACACGTTTCGTGGTGAAGGAAGCAGTTTAAGGTTCTTAACACTCGTGAAGACCCAAACAGAAATCGCCCCGCAGCTCACTGACAGGCAAGTGTCTCACAGCCAAAGTGTTTTTAGACATTTTAAAACCACCAAAATTTTTAAATTACAGGTTCCCCCTGTTAGGGGCAAAGGACGTCCCGCGCCAACTCCACACAGGCTCTGTGGACGCCACCCCCACTCCAGCACACTGGGAACGACAAACCCCACGATCCCCAAAGGGAAGGTGCGAGGCCCTAAGGGCGGCGTGAAGCAGTCATTTTCTCTGTTTGTAACAAAAGCCAGCCCCGCGAGTGGGGTCTGAGGCGCGTGGCCCACGCTCTCAGCCAGGTGGGTGTGGTCTCGGCGGAACAGGAAGGACGCATTTAAGAGCTTATCTCCCTCTTTTCTCCCCGAGTTGTGCATGTCCTCCTTTCTCTCTCCCTTGTAAAGAAGCCTCTTGTTAACCTCTGTGTGTGCCTGCAGGGTCAGTCCCCTCAAGCACACGGGTGAGGACCCCAGTCAGGTAAAGGCATGGTTGCCCCGCGACACCCCCACTACCTGAAAGTAGAGCGCTTCTACTTGGTATGGCTTGGGAGGTTAAGCTTGGCGTCTGGGAAAGCTCAAAGATTGTTCACCTTACATTAGTGGTAGTAGCGAGCCCAGACTCCCCAGGTTAGCTACAAGTTGCACGACACCGGAGCCTTCCTCTAATTCTGACAGCGGGGCAAGCTGGACATTATTTTAATTCCGTTCATGCTGGTTTAAGGAGACACCACCCGGCGCTCCTGTCACCAGCACCACTCGGGGCTGCGTTCATTGGGGTATGTTAATAACCCCCAAGTGCACCTGGCCTGGCTCGGGAAGTGAAACTGGCTCGGAAACAATTTTAACAGCATTTTGGGGAAAGAGCAATTGAGTGACAGTATCTTTTAGGAAACTTCACAAGCTGAGGCTCTCCTGTTGTTTCAAGGCCCCAGCATTTCAGCCCCAGGGCCTTGTCCTAGGAAGGAGATGTTAAGTATTCATGAATTGTAACAAAATAAAGAAGTTTAAAAAGTGCTCGGTGACAAGTGTTTTTAAAATTGGAAAAAATAAAGCTACAGTAAGATAGAGAAAGAACAGGAAGTGAATGGTAAGCAAGGGGGAAAATCCTTCTTACAAAGAACACAATCACATTGGTTAGAATCACACATAAAAGGCAACAGAGTTAGCAGAAATGCAAGGACGCTGGGCAGACAGCAATCCCAGGGAATATCCCATTTCAAGGTGTTCCAACATCTTAAACTGGCAACCACGACATTTTGCTCTTAGTTCACTCAGAAGCGGATGGTGAGATACCCGAGGCTCCTGCATAACCCCACATGACTCAGGCTGGAAAAGTCACTTAGACTTTGTCAAACTGGCAAATCGTTACTGGGAAGCTCAAGGGCATTTGTTCTACTTTTGGGTTAACAGGTTCATAGTGACGTTTTGCAGGATTTGAGGGCCCTTGCTGATGCGGGTTCTAAAGGCACTCGCCAGACTGCAGGCAGAATTTCATCATCTGAAATACCGCAAAGTGGACTCTAAAAAGAGCTTAGAAAAATGGCTATAAAAGGTTTACTTTACTTTTAAAAGCATCTGTTGCTCCAGGTGCGTGGTTTTTGTCTGGATGAAACTTCAAAGCAAGCTTTCTATAAGCTTTTTTCAAATCTTCATCACCAGCATCTTTGGTAACTCCAAGCACTTCATAGTAATTTTTACATTTGTTTATGCTGCGAACAAGAAAGGACATTATAATGTAAATTTCAAGGAAGAACTTCACTAATAGCTCTACTTTCTTATTTATTAGAGTAATAGAAAAACCGTCCATGTGTTTTTCTCTCCATAGCAAAGGACACTCCTCCCATGAAGGCCCATTTCTTCATTCTCTGCCAACCACAGCCTGTTCCCCCAACCTCGTCCCCGGCTAAGGAGGGGTGGCTGTGAGGAGCCCCTTGTGCAATTCGTCACACTACAGAGAAGCAAAGCCAAGCCCATCCCAGCCATGGATGAAGACCACACACACCCCGAGACCGACACAGGGTGGGGACAGTTGGACCGTGCTCACAAATGTGAGCAGTGTGCCACACCTCGCCAGTGTGCCACAGCTGAGGGTACAGTGACGGCCTCCCAACGGCTGTTTACACGTAACAGGGATCTGACCAAAAAATTCTGCTAAAAAGAAGTCATCTGCGGGGCCTCCCTGGGGGCGCAGGGGTTAAGACTCAGCACTGGGAAGCTGTCCGCAGCCTCTGCAGCATGAGTTCGGTCCCCAGCCGGGAAGCTGACCCACATGGCGCAGCAGACCTCTCCTGTCTCCCCGCTGCTCCCCTCAGCAGTGGATTTCAGTGGATCTGCCTGTTCTGCTCCCTGCTCTGTCTCTGGTGAATCCTCTCACCCCGACCCCACACCTCTGGCCTGTACCCCAGCTCTTGTGTGCATAAATGAATAAATCTTAAAAAAAAAAAAAAAAAGAATTCATCTGTGCCAGCTCTCCGAGAAGGTAAGATCTCGTGATGAAACACAGCCCGGGACTCAAGAGTTTTCCTCACACCTCATTTTCATTATGATGAGCATGTTCTGCAGCATCACCTGCGTTTATGGCCCAAAAGATGTAGCAGATTTAAGATCAGAGTCTTCAAAGCATCCCAGGGAAAGAAATGCCCTCACAGTCACGCTCTGGGACGCCACGTTCGCCGCGCCCTAGAGGGCCCCTCCGTGACAATGCCCGCGCGTTTCAGGGAGCACTTCGTGACTGGGTGTGTTTGCACACCTGAGCCCTGAGCACAGAGGCAGTGACAGGCACACGGGTCGGAGGCAGAACTATTCCCCGGCGGCAACAAAAGCGCAAAGATGGACTCAAGGGTTCCAAAGGAGCAGGCCGGGCCTTTCTGCCCACGGAACCGGCCGTCACGGTGCCGTGCGGGAGACGGGTTCTCGAGGGGTTCCCGGGCTAAAGCCACCCACATCTGCTTTTACAATGGAAACGTCGTCGTTTGTTACAAGAGCAAGAGGGACAGAAAGAAGGGGGCTACGACTACGGGCATTTTCTTACAGTCAAGGAAAGGGAAACCCGGCACGCGGTCCGCGTGGTTCTGGTCACGGGGCGGGCGTCCTGCGGCGGACGCTGCACCAGCGCGAAGGGCAGCCCACGGGCCTCGGAGGCACGCGCTGCTCGCACAGGTGGGAAAGGCAGGGACGTCCCTCCTCGGCGGGACCCCGCCCCAGCACATTCTCCCTGCGCGGGACTCTCGCCCGCCCTGCACAAGCCCCTGGGGAGGCCAGCAGGCCCCGGACCTCGGTGACGGGCGGGCTGGGGGCACACGCTCCGGGCCGAGCTCCCGGGACACTCCCCACCTGGCTCCCCGCGCCGGCTGAGCGCCGGCCGCTGGCGCGTCCTCTGCCCCACGCTGCGGTCGCGGCTCTTCCTCCAGCCCCGGCTGCGGCCCGCTTCCCACAGACGGCTCTGGACTGGAGACCCAGATCTTCTCCGGCCACAGGTTAACGGGAAAGAAATGGAGAAGAAGAATCCAGGCCCTGTCCAGGAGGAAACAGGGCAGCAGGCACCGGGCCGGCTCCGGGCCCCTCTGCAGGCCACGCGGGGGGCCGGCGTCTCGCCAGCTTCTCAAAAAGCAATTCGGCCGATTCCCCACACAGGCTGGTGCTGAGGGAGACACCCGCCTGACTGGCCAAGTTTAGCACAGCGATTTCCTTGCTTTTACTCCAAGCCAAATCCTACATTCAAGTCCCCATGATGCCAGCCACTTCACTGGGGACCGACGGACGTCAGGACGCTGCGGTTGAGGATTCCCCACGGTTCTCGCCAACTTTTAAATAAAATATATAAGGGCTTTTCACAAATGAGATGTTGACAACTGGTTCAAACGAGCCCATCGCCGTGTCCCGGGCGTGCTCCGCCGCGCTCCGGCGGCCGACGACAGGCAGGGCCTGGGCCACGGGCCTGCGTGCTCTGGGCCGCACCCGCCGGCCGTCGCGGAGCCGGCGCTCCCTTACGCAACCGAGGCGCTGTGTTGCACGCCTGTCCCCGCTGAGCCACACTGCCGCTGCTGGCACGACCGCGCCCGCCAACGGGCGAGCCTGCCTCCTGCAGAAGGTCCCCCGTGTGCAGGGGAAGCAGAAAACAACACGCGCGGCTGCCGCGCCGGGAGCAGCACACGCGGGCGCTGAAGCAGGAGCCCGGCCCGGCCCCCGGGCGAGGTGGGGTGTTCTGAAGAACCTAGGGCCCCACTCAGGAGGGTTCCAATCACATTTAGTCCCCAGAAGAAAAACCAACCACACCTACTGAATAAAAAAGGCAGAACTAACCTATTGACCAAAGACTCTGTCTTTCCACACCGGCAATGACCTCCGCGTCATTCTCCCGCCGCTGACAATTCCTGGTCTCAGGCCCGCGCGGCCCTCGATGCAGACCCGCAGCCCCGGCGCCCCCACGGCCTTCCCTCCAGCGCCGACCCTTCTGGAACTTCCCATCTCACTGGCTCCCTCTCAACCTCAGGAGACAACGTGCTCCGCACCACCACAGGGCACAGGGGCCAGTGGACAGAACGCATGGCCTACTGACCCCGCTTCCACACTTCCCCTTCCCCGAGCGCCCCCAGCCCAAATGTGGAAACTGAGGCAGCAAAGCACTGCCCTCCTGGCTCTGCCACCCGCGGCCAGGGCAGAGGTCATGAGGGAAGGAAGGACGGTAGGAAGGAGAACCCCGATTCGGGCGCCCCTGCTCTCGGCGACTCTCGGCTGCGCTCGGGTTCCCGAGCAACTGGCCGGTGATGCTACGGCCTTTCTAAACCACTCACAAAATACTCTAAATGAAAGCACACGTAGACCAATTCACTGACATCTCTCACTGAGAGCACGTTCTCCCGGTGGAGTGACTTCTACAAGAAAACAGTTTGTTCCAGGACAGGCGTGGTTTCCTGGAAGACACCTTAGCACGGTGCTGGAGCAAAGCTTTTTCTTACAGAAATTCAAAAGCAGGTCTCTCGCCTAGCTACGGTCTCACTCAGCCAGCCCAACACTAGAGGGGTGAAGCGACAGCACCTGCACCCCAAAGCACCCCCCGGCATCCATGCTGTGTGACCCAGTCACTCACGACCAGTCACTCACTCCACGCCCCTTGCTGTCATCACACTTAGCTAAGATGTTACAATCAAGCTTTGGCATTCAAATATATAAGGAAAGAAGCAAAATATAAATATAATCATATTTAATTTAAAGTAACTTCCATTCCAGGATCTGGGCCCCTTCCATGTATGCGGGTAAACATGCTACTAGTAAATGGTCACATAAAACACAAAATAACATCATTTCAGTTCCAAATTGTGGGAAGAAGGAGAAACGAACTTACAGAGTAAGCCTGGAGAGGAAAGAGTGAGCAAAGCAGCAGGATTTGGAAGGAGCGATGAGACACGGGAGAGAGAGAGGCTGCCTCGGCGCCCTCCGCGTCCCCCGGCTGGCGCACCGACTGCAGTCCTCGGGCCAGGCGCGTGACCCGACGCACCTGACACAGCTCAGAGGCGCCATCTTCACACTCTGGATTCCGAGGGGGCAAAGTCCAGAGACAGCTTCCTAAGTGACAGCGGCCAAGCACTCTGCGCTAGTGTTCCACAGCCAGAGGCTCCTTCCTTAGTCTTCACACTAGTAAAGCCAGCTCTGCCAAACCCGCGCGCCACCTCTCAACTCTGCCTCATGCTTCTGCTTCAAGGAAACGTGTATAATGAGGCAAAAACAAAAACACAGATGCAGAATAACCAGTCAGGAGAACTTTAAAAGGAGGCCGAGTGGTGTCTGCGTATACATGATGGCCGCAGGGCCGCGAGTAGGGGACCACCCTTCACCGACATAGGAGGAGAATGCGATCACCACCCGCGACCTTCCTCTCTTGAAATTTCCCTTTCATATATAGATGAGACAGAACAATTCTTCACACTCTTTCAATATTGTCATCAAAACACTGAGCGGTGTGAAAAAGCAAATTTTTTTTTTCTGAAAAAAAATAGCTGCAAGTAACAGCTCTGTGATTGACTGTTACTTTAAATGATGGAACCGCCCGAAAGCTGATACTTTGCAGGGCCTCCCTGGTGGCGCAAGGAGTTAAGCACCGCACTATGAAGCTGTCCGCAGCCTCTGCAGCACGAGTTCAATCCCCGGCCAGGGAGCTACCCACATGGCGCAGCAGACCTCTCCCGTCTCCCTGCTGCTCCCCTCGGCAGTGTATTTCAGTGGATCTGCCTGTGCTGCTCCCCGCTCTGTCTCTGGTGAATCCTTTCACCCCCACACCTGTGGCCTGCACCCCAGCTCTTGTATGCATAAGTAAATAAATCTTCAAAAAAAAAAGGTGATAGTTTGCAGAGTGACTTTGCAGACATCAAGTGTATCAAGTGTGAGGCACCCACTGTGCAGTCCCCTGACATCCCTGCTTGTTAGTAACCCGACAGCTCAGCATTGCATCAGTCTCCGTTACGGTGGAGACGCGTGGCGCGTCGTTCCTACCTGAGCACTCCGTCCACCTGGTCTTTGGTGTAGCCTTTTCCGCCCTCACCGCGCCCAGACGTGCCGTCCGGGGTGCCGCTGGGCTTGCTTGGGTCCACGCCGCCTGAGGGCTTGCGGCAGTGAGGCCCACTCCCAGCCGTGCTTCCATTTTTCATAATTATTTCCAACAGAGCTGCAGACAGACAGAGAAAACACACCGGGTCTGTTTACAACACGGCACATACACATGCTTTTGAAAAGAAAACTGTAAAACTGGCAAATTAAAAACCTTATTCTCCAAAATGATTCACCATGGGGTCTTTTTAAATAGCAAGCATTCCCTCCGATGCTTCACAGTTTACAAACCACACACTCCATTTAGACGTAGAATACTGAAAGCCTTAAAGCCAATAACTCAAAATTAGTATCGCTCAATTACTTATGACATCCTTTTATTTGTCACATCATGATGTAACTGCAGAATACCTAAGAAGGAGAGTCTTTAAAAGAGTGAATGAGATTATCTACAAAGAAACATAAACCAGACTTTCATTCATTTCTCAAGAGCAACAAAAGACACTGGAATAATACCCTCAAAGTGCTCCGGGAGAACAACTGTTCACTTGAGTTGCAGTAATTTTCTAGAAAGTACACAAGAAGCCACTTCAGGGGGAAACCACTGATGGTTTTCCCAGAGGACACCATACCACATATACATCAGGCAGAGAGAAAATGCACCCGCACAGGGGGAGACCCACAAGGGAATGGTGAGCAGACTGTGACTCTGTGGCCAGAGGCGCCCAACTCTGAGTCTACAAATCACTGACAGTTACATCCAGGATTCGCTCTGAAATAGCACGGAGGCAGGAACGGCAAATACGAGAGTGTAACAAGATGATCCATATATATTGATAATTGTTAAAGAAGGGAGGGTGACAGGAATTGATTATATTATTCTCTCTCCTGCTGTGTAAGCTTGAAGCTCCCAAAGTAATTGAAAACTGAACACAGAAAGTTACCAGAACTAAAAGGGAATAAAGCAGAGAAATCCATTTCATTGTAGGAGATCTGAACTTATTTCCACTAATAACCGACATCAGGAAGCTTAAAAGGCCACTAAAACAAACTATACCCACATCTAATTTATCAAATTTGATGTGAAAGGTATAACGACATCATAGCCAACAACTGGTGAATATTCATTCCTTACAGGAACACCAGGGATAAAAAAGACTCCATCATAGCTAGACTCTAAGCTTATCCTCTTCAAGCCTCGGGAATTTAGTATTACATATAGCACAGTCTAGGAACACAATGTATTTTAAGTGAGAACTCAATTAGAAAAAGATAACTAGAAAAATCACAAATAGGTTGCAAAGGGGAAAAAAGAACTCATTCATCAAAGAGAAAATCATAATGAACAAGGAAACAAATGAAAGAGAACATAGCACGTTCCAGAACTTGTGGGATAGCAAAGGGTCCCACATGCCAGGGGGGAATTTGCTCCGACTTCACACCATACACAGAAGTTATCTCACAGAGGAGCTAAAAAGGAACTTCTCCAAAGAGGAAATGCAAATGGCCAACAGGCATATGAAAAAATGTTCACCATCACTTGTCATCAGGGAAATGCAAATCAAAACTACCATGAGATACCATCTCACACCAGTGAGAAGGGCACATATTAAAAAAACAAGCAACAACAAATGTTGGCGAGGGTGTGGAGAAAAAGGAACTCTCCTGCACTGCTGGTGGGAGTGCAAACTGGTCCAACCACTATGGAGAGCTGTGTGGAGATTTCTGGACCTACTAAACATAGAGCTTCCATAGGATCCAGCAATTCCACTCCTAGGTATTTACCCAAAGGACACAGAAACATCCATTCCAAAGAGCACCTGCACCCCTATGTTTACAGCAGCACTGTTTATAATAGCTAAGCTATGGAAGCAACCCAAATGCCCAAAAATAGATGACTGGATCAAGAAGATGTGGTACATCTACACCATGGAATATTACTCAGCAATCAAAAAAGACAAACACATGCAGTTTGCAGCAACATGGATGGCGCTGGAAGGGATCATGCTCAGCGAAATAAGCCAAAATGAAAAAGAAAAATACCGGATGGTCTCACTCATAGCAGGAATCTAGAAAACCTAAATAAGGGACCCGGAAAAAGACTAATTATAATAAAGTAAAAATCAAAATCAACAAGCAACTATAAACGAGAGACACGGGGGGGGGGGTAGGGGAGGAGGGATTAGTGTCAAAATAAGGGGGGGGGAATTGCATGGGGACTATAACCAAGACGAAAATGCATATATTGTGCAAAAATGAAAAATGATGTAAAAAATACATATTAAAAACAAAAGTTAGGGGCCTCCCCTAGTGGCGCAGCAGTTGAGCGCTGGGTTGGGAAGCTGCCTGCGGCCTCTGCAGCGCTGATTCAATCCCCGGCCTCCGGTGAAGGTCCCACATGGCGCGCAGACCTCTCCTGCCACCCGCTGCTCCCCTCAGCAGTGTCCTTCGGTCCTTCTGCCTGCTCTGCTCCCCGCTCTGGCTCTGGTGGATTCTCCCACCCTCCCGCGCTTCTGACTGTGCCCAGTGCTTGTATAGATAAATAAAATAAATCTTAAAAAAAAAAGTTAGCTCAAAAACAGATCACTCACCTATATGTAAAAGCAGTAACCATAAAGCTCTTGAAGACTCTATAGGGTTAAACCTCCGTGATCTTGATTTGCACAAAACATTCTTAAATATGACAACAAAAGCACAAGTAACACAAGGAAAAAAAAAAGAAATGGAACTTTGTCAAAACTCAAATCTCTGGCCCTTTGAAGAAGACAATCATTAATATTATCATCAATAAAGTAAAAAAAAAAAAAAAAAAAAACACACCAAAAAACCACCGAAGTGAGAGACTATTTACAAGTGACCAGCTGAACGAGAAATACATATCTCCAGAATGTATAAAGAACTCTTACAATTCAATAATAAAAAGACCCCCAAAACTCAGTTGAAACATAGGCTGAGGACCTGCAGAGACACTTTCCAAGTCAGACGAACAAATGACCAGCAAGCAGCGCAGCGTTGCTCCGTGCCACAGCCATCGGGGCTGAGCTAACCCCACAGAGAGAAGCACTTCACGCCTACTAGGATGACCTAATGAAAAAGACGGATGATAGAAGGTATTGGGAAGGATGTGGAGAAACGGGAACCCTCACACACAGCTGGTGGGGGTGAAAGGGTGACATCACTTCCTGGGGCGCTCGCTGTAAAAGATGAAATAGCTACCATGTGACCCCACCATCCCATTCCTGGGTACAAACCCAAGAGAAATGGAAACACCCGTCTACAAAAGCTGGCCCTCAAATCTTCCTAACATAATTCTTAATTTAACAACACAGTGGAAGCAATCCAAGAGTCCATTAACTAACGACTAGGTTAATAAATAAGATGTGGTATTTCCATGATGGAACTGTTATTTGACCATAAAAAGAAATGAGGTACTGACATCTACTACCAAATGGATGAACCTTAAAGACACGTGAAATGAAACAGCCAGTCACAAAAGGCCACGCGCCGCATGATTCGATGTATATGAAATGCACCGACTAGGAAATCTACAGGAACAGAAAGTAAATTGTTGTTCTCAAGGGTCAGTGGGGAGAAAGAGCAGAATGGAAGAGAAATGAGTGTCTGCTAATGAGAACGGGGTTTCTTTGTGAGGGAAAGTAAATGTCCTACAATGAATTCCTGCAATGGCTGCATAACTCTCGGAATATAAAGGCACCAGTGAACAGTACGCTTTAAATGAATGAATTGTACGTCCAACAAATTAAATCTCGGGAAGGCTGTGTCGTCTGTGTGTGCGTGCGCACACATCCCTGCAGTGCATTCGGCAAATTTATAAACACGTATGTATTTATTATTTATATTACATACACAAATACATATGTCTCTCTCTATATGCAAATACAGAGAAGACATATATGAGAGTATCTTTCTACGATGTCTTTCCCCTACCTGATGCATTCAAGGGGTGATCAAAGACATAGAAATTCAGTTTGTGTAATGACCCACTTGCAGAGGCACAGGAAGACTCCTGACAGCAATCTGTTAGTTATTAACACGATAACTAAAGCACGTACTATGTAGTCAATTTTTAACTGAAGTTTAGTCCCCTAATGCAATCACAAGGCTAACTCTGAGCCTGCATGGGAGTAGGCACTGGCTCACAGCTTTCAACTGTGAGAATTTCTGTGGGAATCCCAGAAGACTTGCAGAAGTTTAACTTTTAATCTCTGAAAACTCCCTTATGCAATCAGAGTGTTTAGAAAAATCAAAGCCTCATGCTCAAAATTCTAAACACGAGGTGAGGTGAGTCATCGAGAGCTGCGAGTTCTGTGCGGGTGCTCCCGACCATGTGTGAGGAAGCAGAGGGCAGTCACAGGCACACACAGACGACAGAACACACAGTCCCAAAGAAACCTGCAAGTCCTCTCACAGCAGGAAACAAGGATGAAGGTGTGTCAAAAGGGAATGTGTCTGGGTCATCACAGCAGCCTGTGAGCAGAGAGGGCCACAATGAGGCCTTCGGGGCAACGATCACTCCAGTTACCACAAGCTCGCAAATGCATTAGTCAAAGCTCTCCTCTGAAATAAAGCCACACCGAGGAGAAGCCGCTGGGAATACAGCCTAAGCTGAAAAGAACTGGAGCAATAAAAAAAAAAGAGAAAGTCCAAATACAGCGGGGGGTGGGGGGGGGGTAGGGGGAAGGGCCCTGCATAGCAAGACGACAAACTTCACACGTTCCACTGACTAGAGAAGGGTCGCTGTGATTTATTTTAAGGTGAATCCTTTATCTGTTGAGGTAATACCGGTTTACAGTGCTGTGTATGGTTTAGGTGTATACAGGTGGACACCTTTTCAGAAATAGGTTACCACACTACACCCACCCACACAGCAGCTACAGTACCCCAAGGATTGCTGCGTATTTTAAAAGCCTAACTAATTTCATGGAGAGCAAGTAAAGGAAAACAATAAAAGTGAGATTTGGTACCAAATTATTATAAGAAAGAGATCAGGACTAAATGTCTGAAGATAATGAAAGCATAACACAAAGACTTGCTAACAAAAGAAATAAATGTGACAATTGACTATATTTCAAAACAAGCTGGAGAAACCTTTCATTATACGTCATGTGAAAGAACAACATAAATTAGAACAGCCCCAAAAATTATCCCTCCAGAGCTTAGATGATAAAATTAGGAAAAAATAAGAAATATAAGAAAAATGTCCATTCAGAAAAGAACACTAAGCCAGAAGAAACAAAATATTAAGAAAGATAACCAGAAAAAAAGCGCAAATAATGCCTTCATTGAAAGAGAATATAAGGAGAGGAAAAATTTTTAAAAGACGAAAAATTAGAAAGAAAGTGGCCAGTATTTGAGAGTTAAAGATCTAACATACATATAATAGGAGCACTGATGAAAAGAAACAAAGCAAGAGAAGAAAACCAATATAAGAATGACAAAACTTCTGTCCTTAACAAAACCCTAAAAGTATATAATGAAAAGGCAAGTCACATCCCTGAGAATATTGACCCAGAATAACCAATATTGACCCAGTAAAACTAACTGGGCATGCAGGTGAAAGGGTTAAATGATTTAGGCAGGAAAGAGAATTACGTTGTTCCACTACTGCCCATCAGCCCTGCCTGCACGAAACCGCAGAATAACCTATCTAGCTGTCCCTAGCAAGAACTGTACACCAGGGACCGACTATCTCCCGCTGACCGCAAGCAGTAAGACTTCTAGAAGACGTGATCTCACCATTCTCAAGGTTAGGCAGCACAGCTGCCACATGGCAGCCCTTCTAGAAATCTAGAGCACAAGGCTCAGGATCCCCAGATAATGGGATACAGTGACATCAGCACTGAAGGTGAGCGTTCAATGCTGAGTGACCGTAGAAATAAGACTGTACGGTGACTAAGACAAAGCACAGAGTGTGTCTTCATCGTACATCTAACACAGATATTTTAATATTTTAAAAATATTTTAAATTATATTTTCAATATTTCCATTATTTTAAATATTTTAGTAATTTTTAATATTTTAACATTAAAAGTATTTTTAATTTGTAGCCTTCCCGCCTTTCCTTTTACTTGAAAGAAAACTATTGGTCTTCTGCTTCCTTCCCTTGCTTTTGGCAGCTGAGGTGTCTGGACAAGGTGGAGGTCAGAGCCTGAACATGGCCAAGTGAACAGGGGTCGAACTAGGGGGGTCAAGGAAGCTGTTCATTATGTAGGCGGGGAAGTCAACAGGAACAGGGGAGACAACCGAGCTTCTCAGCGGCAGAGAATCAGACATGGAAGTGGAGGCTGACGCGCGGCCCGGCCTGCCGAGGGAGGCGCAAGGGGTTCAGCACCGCACTAGGAAGCAATCCGCAGCCTCTGCAGCACGAGTTCCATCCTCTCACACACGCCAGCATTCATGTGGGCTACACTGCTCTAGACTGTGCCTGCCCCCCAAGCACGCACCCCCGGACACAGACAAGCATTCAGGGTTCACACTTAGGCTGGTTCTGCTCCCCAGGAGAGCCGGGCCAGGGAGCTCAGGGGCAATGAGCGTGCCCGGAGTTTGTGCCTTAGTTGCTAAGTACCATTCACTCCCCACTGAAAAAATCAGGGCTGCTTGCAGAAACCCAGAAGATCCGTCTGTTCTGCTCCCCACCCTGTCTCTGGTGGAGCCTCTCACCCCCCGCGCCTCTGGCCTGCACCCCAGCTCTTGTGTGCATACATAAATAATTTAGCGCAGAGTCAACAGAAAGTGGGACTGATTTTTTTTTTGCCAGCAAGTAAGGAAGCTCAAAGGATGAGGCCAAGTGACAGCCTCTGGGGATCCTGCTGATTCAACCCGACAGCCTGCACGGGAGAGCCGCGCGGGAGGCCCCGGTCGGGGCGGCAGTCCCGGGCCCACGCGGGCCGCACCGGCACTCTGTGGGGGGAGCGGAGGGGTTTGTCTGGCAACTAACAGAACGTACTTTCTTAATTTATTTAAAAAAACACGCGGCCACGTGGTCACCAGCCCCACATCCCTCCCGCTCCCCTCTCTCCTCGGGCGGCCGGCTCTGCTGCTGTCTGGCCGTCCATCACCCGCCTCCCGGTTCCACCTGGGCCTGACAGCATCCCACGCTTGTCTTGCTCCTTAGGGCTCTTTCGCTCCGCACCACCCCGCCGGGCCCCCCCCGTGTTGCTTGGACAGCAGGGGGCACCTGTGTCTCGTGGCCACTCTTCCCACCGCGCGCCGCACCTGCTGTGCCTGTGGCTGGCCTGCCTCGGGGCCACGGGCAGTGGTGTCACGCGCCAGGCGCGTGCAGCTGGTCAAGCTCTGGTTTCCTAGTTTCCAGAAAGATGCCCAGAGCAGGATGGCTGGGTCGGATGCTAGTTCTAGCTGTAGTTTCTGGGGACGCTCCGCGCTGTTTTCCAAAATGCTGCACCACGTCACAGGCCCAACAGTGCCAACGGGCCCCCTTTCTCCACACCTCAGCTGCACTCGCTGTGACCCGTCTTCCTGATGGAGCCCTTCTCACCGCGCTCTCAGGTGGGTTCTGCTCTGCATTTCCCTAAGAGTAAGATTAGACTCGAGCCATGTCTCCACGTGCCTCTTGGCCAGCTGTTCCTCGGTGGGGAAGTGTCTGCTCAGGTTCTCTGACAGTGTTTGTTGGCGGAGGGGTGTGAGCTCTTTATATCTACTTTGGCTATTAATCCATTGTTCTGCATGTGGCTCCTGCACAGCTCCTGGCACAGAGACTGCAGAATCAGTGCATGTGTGTTGAATAAATAATGCCCCATTTTATAGATGAGGAAATGGAGGCTGACAAAGTTAGTTATACATGCAAGTGTGCACCACTATGAAATTAAGGTTCAAAACCAAATTCAGAATTTTATCTTCAACTATAATGCCCGAAGGAGTGTGGCTACTGGCTGTAACCTGAAAACACGTTTGTAACACTTGTAAGTTGGTCCTAGCAAAATCACTGTTCCAAACATATATTTTATACTCAGCAGTAAATTTTAATTAAGTCAGAAACAGAAAGAGAAGGGAATGATCTAAAAAGGAATGAAAGGGTCATACTCCAGACGCGTAATGACAACTTAAAAAGCTTTCTTTTACATTTTAAGTGAGACAAAAAGGGACAGAACTTCAATTTCTTCCTTAGACTTAAATTTTAAAATAAAATTTAAGAAAGTCTACACATACCTCTCTCATGGGGAAAAAATTGAAAGAGGAGTCTTTAGTTGCTACCGTGCAGGTAGAGACAGCAAATGATACGTGAGTAATCCGCGCATTAAAGCAGACACAGACTGGCCTGTGCGGAAGGGTTAGGCAGACTGTTCCTCAAATGACTACGGCATTCTTAAAGCAACAGAAATGCTGTTCTGAGAAAAAAAACAAAACAAAACGTAGGTTTCAAATTCCCCCTTCTGGGGCCTCCCTGGTGGTGCAAGGGGTTAAGCACCGCACTATGAAGCAATCCAATCCGCAGCCAGGGAGCCACCCACATGGTGTGCAGACCTCAGCCCGCTGCTCCCCTCAGCAGTGCATTTCAGTCAGTCTGCCTGTTCTGTTCCCCACTCTGTCTCTGGTGAATCCTCTCACCCTCTTCATCTCTGACCTGTACCCCAGCTCTTGTATAAATAAATAAATAAATCTTTAAAAAAGAAAAAAACAAATTCCCCCTTCCCCTCTTAGCCTGAAATTATTAACCAACAGTGTAAAAAGCATTAAAATGGTGAGATTAGATCCCTCTGTGATAGTTCAAAATACATCAATAATCCAATAAACATACCGCTTAAGAAACAAAAATGTGGGGCCTCCCTGGTGCTCTAGGGGTTAAGTCTCAGCGCTATCACCACAAAGGCCTAAGTTCAAGTTCCTTCCCCAGCCAGGGAGTGACCCACAGGGCGTGGCAGACCTCTCCTGTCTCCCTGCGGCTACCCTCTGCAGTGGGTTTCAGGAGATCCGCCTGTTCTGGTCCCCACTTTGTCTCTAGGGAATCCTCTCACCCCCTGCACCTCTGGCCTGCACCCCAGTTCTAGTATGTACAAATAAAACTAAAAAAAAAAAAAAAAAAAAAAAAAAAAAAAAAAACCCACAAAAATGTAATCTACTTTCAGCCTACTGACACTTCCCCCAGAATATTTATATTCTCTATGCAGTAGTTAATTCATATATATCAATCCTTTCAAACCCAGATGCACAGTATGGGAATATCTGAAAGATGTAAAAATCAATTCACTAGAGGGCCACTGTCCTGAGCGGTAAAAGAGTATTCTCAACTAAAAACATAGAAAGCAACAATGTCCTAGATCCATTTAAAGGTCAAGGTTTTTTTCAAGAAAAACTTCTGCCAAATTTTAAAGTGTTTTATCAGACGTTTCATCTCACAAGAATAAAATGTAAACACGACAGAAATCCTAGAATTCAGTCTCACACTTTCCTGTTCACTGAAAAACAGAAATCCAAATGCAGTGTTTTCTTTTACCTACCTAAGAATAAGACCACATCCAGAGTCTGACGAATGAATGAACGAACCCATTCAGTCAAAACCGAGTATAAAAGTTTGGAAGTTGTCTAGAATAAAATCCGGGGTCCAAATTTAAATTGTCATGTTAACCGACAGCTTCTATCTCCTTCCACCCTCACTATGTCATCAGGAGCTCCTACAAATGTTCCCGATCTCCCTCTCCCCACAATTCTTAAATTATTCCAATCCACATTTTCAGAGAACATTCTAAAAAAATACACACTGCCAAGCATTTGCACACGCTCTACTGCCACTCCCGCTCCCATCCACTCTGCGATGAAATCCTCCTTTTATACACGGCTGCGCCGGGAAAGACCCCGAGCACCTCACCCCGGCACAAAGCCGTCAGAAGCCGGGCGGGCGGGCGGCCTCGCGGCTGCGGCTCCCCCGGCTCGCAGAACCCTGCCCGGCTCTTTCCAGTGTTTTCGTAAATTTTCCTGTTAATGCGTTTAGCAGCAACACCCGCGCTGTACTTCGATGTCTGATCGTCTCATACAAGCTGTGGTATGAAGAGAGGCAGGTGACAAGCTTTAGGAAATTCGAAGCGCCTCACGCCATAAAACGGACATGGCGGCACCGAAGGAACGGGCGCTCCCGGGGCGCCTTCCGCGCGTTCCCGCCTCTAACGCGGCGGGCGCGGAGCAGGCCCTCGACTCCCAGCCACGGCTTCCGGGACGCGCTCTGGGAAGCAGGGAGAGCGAAAGCAGAAAACAGAGGAACGGGCACCTCATCAGGTTAAAAGCCTTTCCGTGCCAGAGGGTGCCGTCAACGCGGGACCACAGCCCGCAGGAGGGGAGAGCCGCGCGCTCTGCGCCTCCCTGGTGAGGCGGCGCCCTGAGCGCAGCGCCCTGAAGCTGCCCGCAGCCTCCGCAGCGCAGGTTCGATTCCCGGCCGGCCGAGGAGGGCAACACAGGGCGCGCAGACCCCTCCTGCCGCGCGCGGCCCCCCCAGCGGCGGCCTTCGGTCCCTCCGCCTGCTCCGCTCACGCTCTGGCTCCGGGGATCCTCTCGCCCTCCCGCGCCGCTGGCCTGTGCCCCGGCTCTTGTATAAATAAAAAATCTTTAAAAAAAAAAAACAAAAAACTGCAAATTGCGTATGGGATAAGGGACTCGCAGCCGGAATATAGACAGACTCGGGCAAATCAAAACCCAAAAATAAATGAACGGACGCTCGGCCGGGGAGAGCGCGGCCGCGGCCAGCGCCCGAGGAGAGGCCCCCGCCCCGCCGACCGCGAGGGAAACGCACGTGAGAGCCGCACGCGGGCCCCGCCTCGCGCCCGTGCGGGCGGCCCAGGCCGGGAGAGGCAGGAGCAGCGGCGGCCGCGGGGGCCTGGAGCCCCACAGCGGCGGCGGCGGCGGCGGGACCCCGCCAGGGGCCGGCGGCGCGTCCCGGGCACACGCGGCGGCGCCGGGGACGGGGCCTCCGGGACGGCCGCGCCCCCGCGTCCCCGGCGCCGGCCCCAAGGCGCCCCGGGCGTCCCCGCGGGGCGGGGCGGGGCGGCTCTGTCCGCGCGGGGGAGCATCTCGCGGCCGTGGAAGGCGCGCCCGCCGGGCCGCGCCACGGGCTCCCCTCCCTGAGGCGCCGGCGGCTGAGGGCGGCTGAGGGCGGCGGGGCGCGGGCGGCGCCCCCAGCGCGAGGCCCCCGCAGGCCCGGCCCCGCTCGTTCCCGCCACACCGGGGCGGAACAGGCCCCCGCCCCCCCTCAGGCCGCGGCCGGGGTCGCCGGGAGACGCGGCCTCGGGCTCGGCCGCCCTGCGGGAGGCGCCTGCCCCGGCTCTGCCGCTCCCGCGCGACCTCGGCCGGGCCTCTCGCCGGCCGCCCCGAGCCCCGGCCGCAGCCCCCCGCGGGCGCCTCCACGGCCGGCTGCCCCCGCGCGGCGCCTGCGCTCGGGGCCCGGCCGCCAGCCCGGGCTCGGCGGGCGCCGCTCACGGGGACCCGGCACGGGGGGACCCGACACGGGGGGACCCGGCGCAGGCGCCCCGAGCAGCGCCGGCAGCGCCCGTCCCGCCTCCCCGGGCCTCACGCGGTGCGGGCGGGCGGGGGGCGCAGCCGCGCGGCGGGAACCAGCCCGCCGGGAAGGCCGCGCGAGCCCCCGCGGGGACGGCCGGACGCCGGGGGCCCTCGCGGCGGGCGGGCGGGCGCGGGGCTCCGGGGCCGCGGGCAGGCCGGGGTGGGCGGGGCCGCGCGGGGGCGCCCCTGGGGTCCCCGGGCCGCGCTGCTGCCTCCCGGGCCCGGGGTCAGGTCGCGGGGCCGTGCGGGGAAGCCCCTCCCGGGCTCCGGGGTACGTGGCGACGCGCCACCCCCGGGCTCGGGGTCTCAGCCGGGGCGCCTGGGGACGCTCCTCCCGGTGGTGCCGGGGGCGCGGGAGGATCGGCCCGGGGCCCCGGGGGCGACGCTGCGACGGGGGCGGGGAACGGGGCGGCCGCAGGGGGGACTCGGGGTGCCGGCCGGGAGTCGCGAGGCCCGAGCGCCGGGTTGGGCCGGGCCGGGCCGGGCGGGCGGCTCACCGCGGGCGGCGGGCAGCGGGTAGAGCTTCTGAGCCTTGTGCAGGAAGCGCTGGGCCTTGGCGCGGTCCCCGGCGTCCAGGGCCTCGCGGGCGATCCGCACGCACTTCTCCGCCTCGTCCCGGTTCCCCTCCATGGCCTGCGCGTCCCCGACTGCCGGCGGCGCGGGGCGCGGGGCGCGGCCGGCCGGGCGGGCGGGGCGCGGGCGGGCGCGGGGAGCCGGGCCGGGCGCCTGAGCCCGCAGCCCCGCCTCCGCCGACTCTCCGCCCCGCGCCCGCCCCCGCCGGCCGCGTCCCCGGGCCCGCGCGCCCGCCCGCCCCGCGGCCGCAGGTGGCGCCGCCGGCGCAGGTGTCCCAGCGCCCCCCGCCCCCCGGCCCGGGTCGCCGCGGCGGCCGCCGGCTTCCCCCGAGCACCCTCCCCGGCTCCCGAGGCCGCCCCGCACCGGGAGCCGCCGCGCTCCGACCTCGCCCCGCCCCGCCCCGCCCCATCGGGCCGCGGCCCCGGCCTGGCGGCGCCGTCGCCCCAACTTAGTTCTGCCAAATCTGGACTCGTCCGGAAGCCGGCGTCCCCCGCCCCGCTCGACGCGGCCGCGAGGGGCCGGTTCCGCCCCGGCCCCCTCCCCGCCCCGGCCCGCCCCGCGCGGCGCCGGCGGCTTCGCGACCCGGGAGCGCGCGCGGCGCCTGAGCCGCGGGGCCGGCGGGGCTCCGGGCGGGCTGGCCTCCCCCGCGGGCCGGAGCCGGACGCCGAGAAAGACACGCGGCGCGGGGACGTGACCTTTATTGAGCGCCCGCCGCGCAGGGCGGTGCAGACCCGGCCGGACCCGCGCGCCTCCGGCCGGCGGCAACCCAGCGGCTTCTTAAAAACAGTCCACGCGCCGCGCCCGGCCGCGCCGGCTTCCCTGAAGCCACAGTGCGCGCGGGGCCGGCGGGGCAGTCCGCGGGGCTCCAAGCGCCGGGCCGGGCGGCGCCGCAGCGCGCGGCGTCCTCTACACGGTCTTCTGCTGGCCCTTCTTGCCGATCAGGGACTTGTGGATGTGCGGGATCACGCCTGCGGGGGACAGCGTGAGCGCGCGGCCCGCGCCCCCGGGCCCTCCCCGGCCCCCCGGCCCGCGCCCCCGGCCCCGGCCCGCGCACCCCCGCCGGCGATCGTGGCCTTGATGAGCGAGTCCAGCTCCTCGTCGCCGCGGATGGCGAGCTGCAGGTGGCGCGGCGTGATGCGCTTCACCTTCAGGTCCTTGGACGCGTTCCCCGCCAGCTCCAGCACCTGCGGGGCACCCGGACGCTGCAGCCCCGCCCCCGGCCCCGGCCCCGGCCCCCGCGCCCCCGCGCACGCACCTCGGCGGTGAGGTACTCCAGGATGGCCGCGCTGTACACGGCGGCCGTGGCGCCCACGCGGCCGTGGCTCGTGGTCCGGGACTTGAGGTGCCGGTGGATGCGGCCCACCGGGAACTTCCTCGGCGAGACGGCGCGTGAGGGGCGCCCCCGCGCCCCGGCCCCCCCGCCCCCGCCCGCCGCGCGCGCTGACCTGCAGGCCGGCCCTCTGCGAGCGGGAAACCGCCTTTGTCTTGGCCTTTCCGGAGTCCTTCCCGGCCTTGCCGCCAGCCTGCGGGCGGGGGCCGGGGCGGGCCGGGCGGCGGCGCGTCAGGCGGGACCCGGCCCCCGCCCCCCGCCGCCGCCGCCGCGCGCCCCCGCCCGCCGCCCGCCCGCCCGCCGCCCGCCAACCGCCGCGCGCCCCGCCCCGCCCGCCGCCCGCGCCGCCGCCGCCGCCCGCCGCCGCCCGCCGCCCGCCTCACCATGTCGAGCCGCCGCCGCACACACGCGAGCACAGAAAGGGCCGGTCGCGCCGCGGAGCCCGCCGCCCACTCGTCCGCGCACGGCGATTCAAACTGCGCCGTCTCCCGCCTTCCCCGCGCGCTTTATACCGCAGAATGTTCCCTCATCCGGGCACCCGGCGGCTCGGCCCACCAATGGCCGCCGCCCGCCCTCGGGACGCGTCCTTGCGCGCTCCTCCAATGGGCAGGCGGGGACGGGGCCGGGGGGGCGGGCGCTTCGCGGCTCGAGCCGCGATTGGGCCGCGGCTCGGCGGTGGGGGCGGGGGTGGGAACGCGGAGAGGAAGGGCAGCGCGGCGGGAGGGGGAGGCGGAGCGCGCGCTGGCGGCGGGAGCGCGCAGCCCGGGTCACGTGTCTGGGGGCGGGGCCGGTGCGGGGCTCGCGAGAGCTCTGCCCGTCGCGCGCGCGTCGACGCCGCGGCCGGCACGCCCCGCCCCCCGGGCCCCGCGCGCCCCGCCCCCCGGCCCGCGCGCCCCGCCCCCCGGCCCCGCGCGCCCCGCCCCCCGGCCCCGCGCGCCCCGCCCCCGGCCCCGCCCCCCGGCCCCGCCAGGTCCTCGCGCCCCTCGTGCACCCCTCTGGGGCTTCGCCGGCGTCCGCGGCGACCTCTCCGCGGCGGCGGGTCCTGGGGCGCGTGGGGGCTGCGCCCCGGGAATGCGGGTCGCCCCGCGTGGTCCCCACAGAGCGGCGCCGGCGCCTCCCCGCGCCCCGCGCCGGGCCGGGTCCGGGGGAGCGCGCGCAGCGGGCGGCGGCCGCGGGGGGCGGCGGGGAGGGTTCCGCGGCCCCCGCTCCTCAGAGGCGCCCCCAGGCGGCTGCCGCGGCCGGGCCCGGGGCGCGGTTTCCCGCCCGCCGCGCGGGGGTTCCGGGGGCGCCCGGGCGCTGACGCGAGGGCCCCGCCCGGCCGGCCCCGGCGCGTCCACGCCGCTGGACACGGGGGCTTCGGCCCGGCTCGGGGACCGCCGCGGCGGGGGTCCCGGGCTCCGCCCCCTCCCCCGGGGCCCGTCCCGCCGCCCGCGCCTGGGGCTCCGGGCCCTGTTCCAAAAAGAGGCGGCGCGGCCCCCGCCCCCCGCCCGCGCTCCCGGCGGCGACCCCACGCCCCCCGGCGCCCGGCCCCGACGGCGGATCCCGCTCGCGCCCGGCCCCGCTCCCCGCAGTGGGGGCGGGTCCCCCGGCCGCGTGTCCGCAGCGCGTCTCCGGGGCGCGGGCGGCGCCGGGCCGGCCCCCCCAGCCCCTCGTCGACGCTCGTCCTGGAATCGGAGGCGACGTCGACGCCCCCGGGGACCCCAGCGCCGCGCCCCGCGGCCGCCGCCGGTGCTGCTCCGCCCGGACGCCCGCGCGAGGCGAGCCGCGGCCCCTGGGGCCTCCGGGAAGAGCGCGGGGCGGTCCCGCAGCCGGCTCGGGCTCAGCGCGTCGGCCTCCCGCGCCCTCGCGAGCAGAGCGGAGCCGCGCGGGCGCCTCCGAGCGCAGCGGCCTGGACGGCGCGCCGGGCGGGCTCCCCCAACACCGTCAGAGGCCGAGGGGACCCGGGCGCCGGCCTGTGCCGCCCACGGACCCTCCCGCGGCCCCGCGGCTCCGGGCGAGGCCGCCCCACCGGACAGGGGCGCCGGGGCGGACGCGGGGTGCTGGCGGGCGGGCTCCGGGGCCCCCGTGAGCACCAACGCGGCGCGGCGCCCCCCCCGTGCTGAGGACCGAGCCCGCCCCGGCCCGCCCCCGCGGACACGCAGCCCCTCCGCGCGGGTCGGGAGCGCCGGCCTCCGCCGTCCACGCCAGCCCCGCGCCGGCGGGAAGGCCGGCCGCAGAGCAGGGCCCGTCCCCCGCGCAGCACCCCTCGCCCTTCCAGGCCGAGCGTCCTCGGGATCTTTATAGATTTGCTCTTTTAATTGAAAAATGCTTATTGTCATCCTTCGTCACCCGCTATCGAGCCTTCCCACGGGCCGGCGGGCGAGGCAGGGTCTCTGCGCGGGTGGCACCTTCCCGCCAGGTCCCCCGGCCGACGCGGCGTCTGGAGACTCTGATCCCCGCGGCCGCGCGGACGCCCGAAGCCCTGTGGCGCCGCCGCCGGGCTCTGAGGCGATGCGGAGACGTCGCTGCGGACACCTCCCGCGTTCCTAGCGTGTTGCCGCCTTGCCGGGAGCCCGGGCTGCTGGACAGGAGGCGAGAACCCTGCACGAGCATGGCCCACGCTCACCCCAAAACGCGAGTGGAGGGGCGCTGTCCCAGACGAGGGCTGCCGGTCTCCAGGGAGAGGAGAGCCGGCCGGCGGCCCGCGGGCAGGCAGGGCCGCGCCAGGCTGCTGGGAGCCGCTGGGAGCCGCTGGGAGCCGGGCGCCGGCCGCGGGTGCTCGTTCGCGCGGGGCTCACGCGGAACGAACACTGGAATGAGCTTCTCGTCAGCGGACCCCACGGGTGCGCCGTGACGGCCCGCGCGCCATGGACGCCGACCTGGCACGCCCGTGGCCGGCACAGAGCCAGCGGCGGCCGCGGGGTTTTGCAGAGTCGTGTTCAATGCGGGAGGGAGGCGGCCGTGGACGGCGGGCGGGGGGGGGGGCGCGGGAGGCGGCGCTGGGGGCCGCTCAGCAGAGATCCTGCTGGCACCCCAGGCCTGGCTCCCTCAAGAGAACTCCCCGCGCGCGGCGGGCCCTTCGGTCGTCAGGGCGGAAGCGTAGCCGGCGTGGAAACGACCTTGCAGCGAGGGGCCCAAGAAGAGGGGCAGGCACAGCCTCCAGACGTGTCCTCGGCAGAGGCGCGCCCTCCGTGTCCCCGTTTCTTGCTGACTGGAATGCGGGCCGCTGTTCGCTGGGCGCTGCCATGGGCTCGGGAACACGGGGGATGCTGAGGGGCCAGGGGCAGGTCTTTGCTAAGAGGGAGCTTCAGCCCGGCCCTGGAGCTCTCAGAACTTTTTGCTTTTTTTTTTTGGCCTCTCCCAAAGGTCTGTCAGTTGCCGCTGAACCGGATCTTCTATTCCAGAAAATCAGCCGCGTCAGTGCTTGGGAGAAGACAGCAGACTCACCCCAAGGAAGTGAGACGCCCATTCACATTTCTGAGAGGGCGAGTGCAGAGTTCCCCACCTCAGGACGCTCACCTCGCATGGGGTGCGAGGCGGAACCTACGGGGAGGCTTTCCTGGGGCGCTGGCGAGGCGACGGGAGCCCAGAAGGGATGAATCCCACCACCGGAGTGACGCGGAAACTGAGAGAGGGTGAGAGACCCTCGGAAACCAGGGTCACCCTTCGGCAGGGGCGGGGAGAACCTGGTAAACGAGAGGCACCAGAGGGGACACCCGGGTTCAGATGCTGACCTGGGATCTGTCGTCCACAGAAGCGGAGCCCACAGACGCGGGTGGGCGCGCATGGCGGAGGGGAGGAGAGAGCCGGGAGCAGGACAGTGATGACACCGTTGCCTGGGGTTCACACTAGGGGAATCCGACTAGAATTTCCCAGCAGGTATTTTGCAGCAAGGAGAGGGGCTTGAGACACAATCAGTATCAAAGCTAGAGCCTCAGGGTACTAACGGCAGAGCAAGTGGGGGAAGAATGTCAGAACTGTTGCAAGGTAAACTGAGGCACGGTAAAAACCTCCCGATTTTGTCTTTCCATTTACAGAGAGGAACTAGGCAGACCAAGCAGGAGGTGGTTAGGGGTGTTCCTCTGACAGCCTCCAGGAAAGACATTTGGAAAAGCAAAGGGCAATCTGACGGGCCGTACTAAGGCCCGCCCTGCTTCCTGTGAGTGCTGTCCTTAAGTGTCGAGGGCACTTGCAGGCTTAGAGTTTGGCTGCCATGGGCGTTACAGCCCCTGAAGTCTGAGGCTTCCTTGTGGAAGTAATTTAACCCCACCCTGGACAATCCTGAGGGAACTGGTGGGAAAAGGTGAGCAGGATCAGAAGCTGAAGAGCAGTCAGAGTGCAGGAGCCTGAGAGGCCAGCGACGTCTCCACACGGAAGGAGACGCCCCGTGGCCCAGCGTCCCTCACGTGTGCACCAGCTCGGTGCAGTGACCTTCGCTCCTCTCCTGCTGACCGACGAGGAGGCGGCCAGGGGCCCGCACTGAGCTCTGTTTTAGCAGGACCCTGGGGGGTCCTGCTGTCGTGCCCACTGTTACAAGGAACGGGACTGGTTCTGCACGGCAGGAATCCCACAGCGCATTCCTCGTGCGAGAGGGAAGCCAGCGCCACCGTGTCCTGAGGAGGGCAGGGAGGCGCCGCAGAAAGACAAGGGTCCTCACACCCTCCAGAGACTCAGGCCCGCTGCGAGAGTGCGAAAGGTGTCACCTGCAAACCTTCTGTTAAACCTCTGCAGAAAATGTGGCCCGTCCCCCATCCTTAATTGCAAGGAAATAGCTGCTAGAAGGATGAGGTTTTTCCCAAATCTTTAGGCTTTCCCATCATCTGCGTGTATGCGGGCGCCGTGTGCGTGTGTGCGGTGCGTGCTGTGTGTGTACGATGCATGTGGGGCGTGTGTTGGGTTGTAGGCTGTGGCTTGTAAATAGCCTGCTGGGAGCTCACCAACACAGCTAACGGCTCCTCGAGATCCATCTTCTTCGCTCCTGTAATGGCGCTGAGGGGCCTTTCCTGGCCTCTCGTGAGTCGCCATGACCGCCGGGGCCCAGGAAGGCATCAATTTAGGATATTCGAGACATGATGACCCGACTAACCGCTCTCAGGTGTTTCCTGCAGACTCTTGACAGCGCACAGCATTCGCAGTGGAATCTCCCCTGCAGGCCCATTTCAGACCGAGGCTGCCTGACTGGGCCTGACTCACCTACCTCGTGAGAGGCGGGGAGTCAGCTCGGAGGACCAGGCATCCTGCAGGCATCCTGCTCCCGGCCTTCAGAGCGAAGAACGTCTCAGAACAGGGGTCGTCAGCGTGGGGCCACAGGTGCCTCTGTTTTAAACAAAAGATGTAAAGTTTACGACTCTGTCGCACCTCCTCAGGGTCATTCCTCCAGAAGAGCCTGTCCTCACTGTCCTCGAGTGTCCAGACTGGCGCGAAGCCGTCACGGATGCCTTCCGCCAGGCGCCGGGCCCGCCCAGAGCCTCAGCCCGAGCCGGCCCTTCCGCGTCAGCACGGAGCCCACGGCGGGGCGGGCGCTGCCGGGCC